TTTAGTTGAATTTGCTGGTGTAATCTTATCTTGAAAAGGGCCAAGTGAGTTTGCTGCTACAGTTTAATAGTAATATTCTGTTAAGATCATCTGACTATCTTAGCTCAGATTCTGTGATCACCAACTTATCAACGGACTTCATAGTACTCTGATATTGGGAATGGGGGTCCTACCTCACAGACATAAGGGTCCGATCAGCATGGCATATATAGTTATTTCGATAATACATAAATTATCATCCAGATTATAGATCATTCTTTTATGAATCACAGGATCTCAATGTTGGAGTATATCTAAGGGACATTTAGTTAACCATCCACCTGGTGCTGATATTCCCCTTATAAAAAGCTGACAAGGGGTTGTCCAAATTTCCTTGAGAGTCTCAAGTAATAGGAAACGCATTACTTCTTTACTTCTCTGAACACCTGTGTTGGAAAATTCTGCTTTATATTGAAAAAAAAAAGTGTTACTTTATTTGTATTTTTATTTTTTGACACAGAGTCTTGTTCTGTTGCCCAAGCTGGAGTGCAGTGGCATGACCTTGGCTCACCACAACCCCTGCCTCCTGGGTTCAAGTGATTCAAGTGCCTCAGCCTCCTGAGTAGCTGGGACTACAGGCATGCACCACCATGCCCGGCTAATTTTTGTATTTTTGGTAGAGATGGGGTTTTGCCGTGTTGGCCAGGCTGTTCTCAAACTGCTGACCCCAGTGATCCGCCCACCTCGGCCTCCCAAAGTGCTGGGATTATAGGCGTGAGCCACCGTGCCCAACCAAAAGTGTGTTACTTTAGAGCCCCCATTCCTTGGTTGACTCCTTGGGTCACATACAAAACAATCTAAATCTTCTAAAAAAAAAAAAAATGTAGATAAACTCATGTCCCCGATAAACCTTTTCCAGGCCAAATTCCGTACACTCTTTAAATCCTTCTAATATAGGATGCTTTCAAATCATTACATCAACCTGGTCACCCTTCCATGGACAGGCTTTAGTTTCTCTTTTAATATGTGGTCTTGGGCATGGGCAAGTATTTTTGTAAAATTTACAAATGTAAAATATTTTCATCGCTAGTGATTAACTGTCTCTTACCACTCCAACTTCCCTCTGTCACACTTCCCCTCAGGTCAAGTGATGCTGGACTGGCCATGAGCATTTCTGGAATACAGATAAGAGGTTATTGTTTTGGTGGTATATTTAGTTTGGATTTAGGAGAATATATATTATGTGGTTCACTGCCACTTCTATATCTAGTTAACTGATTGATAGCTGCCTTAGTGTATAAATGGCTTCCAGGAAAACTCCTACTACGCACTGTGCCAATTTCACCTGGCATTATGGTACTAAATTGCAGGTGTGTTTGGCAGCTAATGAAAATGTTATTTTTATGGGTTTGGCGATGTTGAAGAGATTTTTCAGCTTTTTATAATAAATATAAAATGTACTATGCATTGAGCTATACTCCTTATAATGGGAACATTTCATGGCATATAAATTATACCTCAATAAATCTGTTTAAAATGTGCTGTGATTTCTTTTCTATTTTAAATAAATATTTGCTTTTGTGCCTAAAGTAAAGTAAAATAAAAATATGTAGCAGGATATCTACAAAACCTGTACAAAACATCCCCTTGGTATGGAAGAGTGAAATGGAAGCATCCCCTTTGAGATTGGGAATTAGGCAAGGGGATCACTACTTCTACCTTTGTGCAACATTGTACTAGAAGTTCTAGTAAGTGCAGTAAGTGAAGAAAAAGAAATAAAAGTTATAAAAATTAGAAAAAAGAAAGTTGGGCACGGTGGCTCACGCCTGTGATCACCGCATTTTGGGAGGTCAAGGCGGGCGGATCACCTGAGGTCAGGTGTTTGAGACCTGCCTGGCCAACATGGTGAAACCCCGTCTCTACTAAAAATACAAAAATTAGCCGAGCATGGTGGCAGGCGCCTGTAGTTCCAGCTACTCGGGAGGCTGAGGCAGGAGAATCGCTTGAACCCAGGAGGCAGAGGTTGCAGTGAGCTGTTGCAGTGAGCTATTGCACTCCAGCCTGGGCAACAAGAGGGAAACTCCATCTCAAAAAAAAAAAGATAGAATTAGAAAAAAGAAATAAAACTGTGTTTAGAGCAAAAAATGTGACCATGTTTATAGATAATCTAAGACAAAATACAGAAATATTATTACAATTAATAAGTGAGTTCAGCAATGTTGCTGGATATAAAAATCAATATGTAAAAATAAATTGTCTCTTTAACAGCCATCATTAAAAATTAAAATAAAAATATATAATTTACAACCTCATGAAAACATATAAAGTTCTTAGAAGTGAATATAACAAAGGAGATGCAAGAATTTGATTATAAAATTTACATGAAAATGAAAAGGCCAAGAATAAAAACAAAACACAGAAACCCCCCCCCAAAACAAAGAAACAAACAAACAAAAAGCCAAGAGTAGCCAAAGCACTCTTAAAGAACAAGGTGGGAAAACTTGTCTTATCAGATGTCAAGACTTAGTAATTAAGGCAGTGGCATGTAAGAACTAAATGGAGAGCTCCGAAACAAACTCGTGTATAAAGACATTTCATATATAATAGAACTGACATTTTAGATCAGCGAAGAAAGTATGTTTTTGAAAGTACTTTTCAAAAATGGTCAGTTGCGGTGGCTCATGCCTGTAATCCCAGCACTTTGGGAGGCCCACGTGGGTGGATCACATGAGGCCAGGAGGTCAAGACCAGCCTAGCCAACATAGCAAAAACCTGTCTCCACTAAAGATACAAAAATTAGCTGGGCATGATGGTGCTTGCCTGTAATCCCAGCTACTCAGGTGGCTAAGTCATGAGAATCGCTTGAACCCAGGAGGCAAAGGTTACAGTGAACAGAGATCATACAACTGTACTCCAGCCTGGGTGACAGAGCAAGACCCTGTCTCAAAAAAAGTTACAGTGAACAGAGATCATACAACTGTACTCCAGCCTGGGTGACAGAGCAAGACCCTGTCTCAAAAAAAAAAAAAAAAAAAAAAGTACTTTTCAAAAATGATGCTGGAGCAATTCGTTTTCCATATTTAAAAGTCGTAAATTGGATACCATAAGTAAAAATCAGCTCCAGGTGGATTCAAAACATAAATGTAAAATGCAAAAATATAAAATTTCTGGTAGAAAATATAAAAGAGTGTCTTCATATCTGGATAGTGGTGGATTTCTAAAGCAAGACATAAAATGCATAAATCATAAAACAAATGACTGGTAATCAGAGTGCATTAAAATTAAGAACTTTCATTTATCAGAAAACACTATTAAGAGAGTGAAAAGATAAGCCATAAACATAACCAATAAAAGATTAGTATAAGATTATAAACAGAACCCTAAGAATCTATAAGCAAAAGAAAAATAAACCAATAGAAAGATAGGCCATAAGGTAGAATAGGCTCAGAATAGGCTCTTTTTAAAAGAGAAAACTCAAATGGCCAGCAGTTGAATTAAAAGATGCTCAAACTCATTAGTAATCAGGCAAATGCAAATTAAAATCATAATAAAATAGTATTCCACACTTACTTGAATCATAAAAACAAAAAGGTCTGGAAAATACTGAGGGTTGGTAAGCATGTGGAGGAAGTAGAACTCTCATTCATAACTCTCTGTAGTATACATTTAGGTGGTCACTTTGGAACGGGCTTAGAATTACATAGCAAAGTAGAATATGTGCAAATCTCAGGACCCAGGAATTTCACTCCTGGGTATATACCTTAGAGAAACTGTAGCATATGTGTGACATTTGATCAACATTTTTCCGTCATCATATCTATCAGTAGTGGGATGAATGAATACATTAATGTATATTCATTCATGCAATGGCATATTAGATAGCAGTGTAAATGAACTGTAATTACATGTACATGTATGAATCTCAAAAACCCAATGTTGAAAGAAGCAAACCACAGAAGCATACATACACACTGCCAGGTTTCATTTACAAAAAGTTCAAAAACAGGAAAAACTAAACAATATATTGTTTAGGGATGCAACTATAGTTAGTAAAAATATAAAGAAAAATAACGGAATGATTACCCCAAATTTCAGGATAGTAATTACATCTTGTGGGGTAGAGGAGGGGAAGAAGATAGATGTGACTGGGGAGAGAAACACAAAGAGCTTTAAGATACTGGAGAAAAACAGTCTATTTTCTTTAATCTGAGTAGTGAACAGATAGATATTTGTTCCTTAAAATTATTCTTTAAGTTACATATATATGTTGTATACACTCTTCTGTGTATATTTCACCATTTTAGAAAAGGAAAAAAAATCAGTGCCCAGAGCTGAACATACAACTCTAGTTAATCTGCCCAGAGCTGAACATACAACTCTAGTTAATCTATCATAGTCGAAGACAATCATCTCCATTCTTTTGAGTGCTCTGCCCTTGTTTATTTTGAACCAAAGAGTACATTTATACTTGTTAAAATTTCTCTTATTCTATTTGACCCTTCTTTTCACTTGTCCTTCCAGCCAGTCAAGCTCTCCCCAAAGCCATCATCATATATGTCAAGCATGGGTCATCCTCCAGGGCAACTGGTATACTAAAGTTTCTGAGCCAGCCAGGCTGAAATCCAAATGGCAGCCGGCAGACGTGGCAACACTTCGAAAAGTGCACCTTGAAACAGCTTCCTTACCACACACGCTTCCCTCCCTACTTCTCCTGAAGTAATCTGTTTATGGATCCAGACTAATTATCTTTTTTATGAGAAACTTTAGCAAATCTTTTATCTAGGAAGGCAATGCTTCACATTAAGTTATGTTGATAAGGTGATGAGAGAGAATATTTCATCCAAGAATACTGCTATTTCCTGAAGGGGTAAAAACCCCACAGGGAAAACCCCTGTGGTTCTCATAGGTAGGGCTGGTCTATCTAAGCTGATAGCACAGTTCCGTCCAGAGAAGGGAGGCAGAATAAACTTATTCATTCCCGGGGACTCTTGGGGTAGGTGTGCGTTTTTCACATCTTGAAGACTCACAGACCCTGAGCTGGATAAATGTCCCATTCCTGAAGGACCTCTCCAGAATCCGGATTGCTGAATCTTCCCTGCTGCCTAGAGGGGCTCCAAACCACCTCTTGACAATGGGAAACTGGGTGGTTAACCATTGGTTTTCAGTTTTGTTTCTGGTAAGTGATGTTTGACTTCCTATTAATCAGGAAGAATTAAGGAGAAATCATGTTTGTTAATATTTGTAAAATAATTTGAAAGGGAAAGATTCCATGCCAATTATTGGGTTCCTCAGGACCAGTTAGTTAAAAAATACAACTCTGGGTCAGATGAGAGGACAGAGGCAAATAGCATGCAATTGTTCATGTTGTCAAATCACCAGTATTTGGAATTTCAATCTGTTTTCATTTTCTGTCGTCTCCCTTTCTCTTCCATCTCACTTCTAACTACTACCATGAGTGCTGATTTCTCTCTATCTTTCCTATACTGGTCCCGTCAAGATTTCAAAAAGTCGCTGAATGTTTGAGATGAAAGTGATCTTAGAGATCATCTGGCCCAGCACTACCCACTAGAAATATAGCAAACCACATAATGTATTTCCTAAATTTTCTAATACCTGCACTGAAAATGGAAAAATAAACAGGTGAAGTTAATATTTAACAATATAACTCATTTAACCCAACATATCAACAGATCCTTTCAGTATGTATTCAATATTGAAAATATTAATAAGATAATTTACATATTTTTATTTTTACTGAGTCTTTCAAATCTGATATGTATACCCACAGCACATCTCAGCGAAGACTAGCCACATTTCAAGTGCTCAGCAGCCCCATGTGGGTAGTGGCTGTGGCATTGCATAGTGCAGATGTAAACCAACTTATTGATTGTACAAAGGAAAATAAGACCTAGATGTCACACAATGAATTGACTGAAGAGGCATCACTCGAACCCAGCTCCCCAGTGACATTCAGGCCAGAACCCCTTTACCACCCTATGTATGCACAATCCCTTTCTCCTAACACTCAAACACCTCTCTCTACTCTCATTCTTCCATTTCTGAGCCACAATTGAGCCTGGGGATCCCTGTGTCCTTTCTCACTTTCCTAGATCTTCATTCATTACTCTTTCTCTTTTCTCCTATTTTGCTTTTGGGTCCCACAGGCGAAACAGGAGAAAAGAGAAGGTGTGATGCTTCTTTTTTCTCCTGTCCACCCCCTCGCTCTCCCACCAGGTGCTCCAGGGAAAAATATGTGAGTTTTCCTGGAGGGTTGTTTGTTTTACATTTAACAAAAGTGCTTATTTTGTCAGGCTATCCCATGACATATTTTAAATGCTCAATGCCTTATATTGAGTTCTTTTGCACAATAATGGAAAAAACACTAGTTTAGGAGAAAGAGAACCTGGCAAGTACTTTGAATTCTGCTACTAACTGGGTGACCTTGATCAAATTATTTATCCTCTCTAGACTTCAGGTCCTGTATGTGTATGTGGGGGGGACTGGGCAGGGGAGGGGAGCAGGGGATTAATAAAGTGACTAGATTAGATAGAAATATAAGGGTGTTTCTAGCTCTAAAATCCACATTTACCTGCATTTTTCCCCTCTTATTTTTTGCTGGGAGAGGTTACCAGCTATGATGGTGACTCACATTTAACTCTCTAGCTTTGAATTTCCATCCCCCACCAAACCAGCTGGCAAGCTTAGACTTCTCATTATCTCTGATATATACTCCTATGCACTGATTTTTAAATAAAAAATAAACTACTTAAAAATAGTTTTATTCCTCCTTCCTACCAGGTCTTGTAGTTTACCTACTTTGTCGTTCATAGTGGAGGAAATGACAGCTAAGATGGGGAATGGAATTCATTACTCCTAGATATCACTGTATTTCATCATTTGCCTTGCCTACAATTGATGATGGGCTGACACAGAGTTATTTGCCCCTGTGTCTCTTTGCGATCCAGAAATATTTCTGCTCCCTCTAAATAAACTTCTCTCCTCTGTCTTCCAAATTCTGGAGGTATCTGTGACTGTTGACTTTCTCTTCTTTCAAAGACGTTTCTCTGGAAGACACTCAGCTCTGGAAAAGGGTATCTGAGCAAAGGAGGCAGGAAGAAATTGATTGGTAAAGGAGGTTCGGTGGTGACACAACTCTGTAGCTAGCATTTATTGATCTCTTACTAAGCCCCAAGCATTGCATTAATCACTTTACACGCATTATCTGATGTTAGCCTCATAGCACTACTATAAAGTAGGTCCTGTTATTATCCTCATTTTACAGGTGAAGAAATTGAGGTTTAGAAAAGTTAAATCACATGTCTGTCTGAGATTACAGAGATATTAATTGGTGATGCTACAACTTGACTCCAATATCACACTTTAAATCACTATATTACAGTACTAAAGGTGTGTGAGTGGTCTAGATCTAAGGATTCTGAATAGGCCATGCCCTAGGCTAAAGGTCCTTTGCCTGTTGTGCTGAGATGGTTCTGACTCACACTGGGTCAAGGGATATATACTAGCGCCCTGGAGACCTGTCGAATTACAGACTGTCAAATCACCTTCACACTTGAGCTAGAGACCAGTTGGTTGGTCCTCAAGGCAATGGGCAGTGAGTTCCAAATTTCACGTTTAGCCAGTGCAGAGACAGAACTTGGGACAAGCAAAAGCAGTCTTAAGAGCTCAAATGAGTCCAAAGGAAAAATAGATTAATTTGAAAAAAGACTCACAATCTGAAAACAGGAGAATGTATGTCAGGGTATAATTAAAAAGGCAGGCCTATCTGGAATGGTTTAGTTCTTTTCAGATAGGTATTGTTATAGATGCTAAATTTGTTCTTTGTTTCTTCAGATATCCATTTATTCACTTATTGCCATCTTTTAGGTGCAACAGTTTGAATGCTGTAGTCCAAGAATTGGCAAATGTTTCTGTAAAAAGCTAGATAGTACATATTTTAGGCTTTGCAAGCCATATGGTCTCTGTCCCAACTACTCTACTCCGTCATTGTATCACAAAAACAGCCATAAACAATACAGAAATGAGTAGCAGTGGCTAAGTTTCAATACCACTTTATTTATGGTCACTGAAATCTGAATTTTATATAACTTTCACATGCCACAAAATATTCTTCTTTTGATTTTCTCAACCATTAGCAAATTTGAAAATATAAAATATAAAAAACCATTCTGAGCTTGCAGGCTGTGGCAAAACAGGTCATGGGCCATGGACCTCAGTTTGCTGACCATGCTCTGGTCTAATGCATGTCTCAAAGTGCTGACTCACTCTGAAAGCCAGTTAGATACTGGCAGGATTGTACTCATTTAAGATGAAAACAGGTAAACACAAAATAGCCAAAATGGCGACACTCTTCCTATCCCTATCCTTTATTTACTCCTTCCCATACTCAAATTTCACTGTATTCCTTGCATGTTTTTTTTTTTTCTTCCTCTAGGCTGTTTGGTTGGGGCTGAATGTTTTCCTGTTTGTGGATGCCTTCCTGAAATATGAGAAGGCCGACAGATACTACTACACAAGAAAAATCCTTGGGGTGAGTATCACGGTTGTGATGGAGGAATCCTATTTTTTTCCTTATCTCTGATTCTGGCTTCTTTGTGACCCAATGCCCTGATATCCTCTAGGGCTAGGGTTGCCAGAGAAAGTACAGAATGCCCAACTGACTTTGAGTTTCAGATAAATGACAAATTATTTTTTGATATAAGTATGCTCCAAATATTGTATGGAACACAGGTATATGAAAATATTTTTAAAAATCTGAAGTTAAAATTTAGCTTAGCATCCTGTATTTTTATTTAATAAATCTGATAACCCCATCTAGGGCACACTACCCAGACCCAATAAAGGAAACATGCCATAAAGAAAACTATTAGGCAGTAGTTTTCAAACTGGTTTCCAGAAACTCGGGTGTTCCTACAGGGTATGAGGGGAAGGCTAACTGGGCAGTGCTCCTGCTCCTGCCCCTGTTTCAACCAAAGCAGCCTATATCTATCTATGAACACCTGCTTACAATTTTAAGGAAGTATTTGTTTTTTTTTTTTTAAAAAAAGGAAAGTAAAAAAGAAAAAACAAACACAACTTGAAAACACTGCTGTCATGGAAACATACCTCTCTATCAAATAAGAGGGATACTTAGGGGAGTCTCATGAGTGCTACAGAATTCAAGGCCTGCAGAAAGGAGGGCTCAGGTCAAGGTTACACAACAGAGAAGCTTGGGGAAGCGGCAGATCAAAAACAGAAGAGGGAGGGAGTGGGTAGGGCACATGGGTGTGGAGGTGACCAGGAGGAAGCGTGGAGTTGAGGATGGTTCTCTCACAGGCTGATGAACCCGGACACTGCCTGGTTAGAAGAGCATATTTGACTGCTACCTCTAGTCTATTATGCAATAACAGAGGATTTTAAAATCACTTTCATCTTGACAGTGTCTTTTTTTTTTCTTAGTAGCTTTCAGTATCCTCCCAATGTACATGTTTAAAGACAGCTTGTCCTTTTAAAAAATGCTTTTTTCTCTCTCCATAATCAAAGAATCCATGTTGAGATCACAACTAATTTGAATGTTCTGTTCATGGTTTATTTCACCCTGCTGTTTTCCATTTTAAATGTTCATCCTTGATCCTTCTTTAGAAAATAACTCCAAAGGAGGTATTAATTTGCTTTAAAAATAGCTTTTTACTAAGAGAATGATGCAATAAATGTGACTAGTTATTAACAGCTTGATTGCTGCATGACCAAAATGTCAGCAGCAGAAAATAAATTATGCTGATGTCCCATGGACATTTTGTTTTTTAAAAATTATTTAAAAATTGTTTATATATGTAGGGGGTATAACTGCAGGTCTCTTTCTTTCCTTCTTTCTTTTTTCTCTTTCTTCCTTTCTTTCTTCTTCCTTCCTTTTCTTTCTCTCTCTCTTTCTTTCTTTTCTTCCTTCCTTCTTTCCTTCCTTCTTTCCTTCCCTTCTTTCTCTTTCTTTCTCTCTTTCTTTCTTTCTTTCTTTCTTTCTTTCTTTCTTTCTTTCTTTCTTTCTTTCTTTCTCTTTCTTTCTTTCTTTTCTTTCTTTCTTTCTTTCTTTCTTTCTTTCTTTCTTTCTTTCTTTCTTTCTTTCTTTCTTTCTTTCTTGTTTTCCCTCCCTTCCTTCCTTCCTTCCTTCCTTCCTTCCTTCCTTCCTTCCTTCCTTCCTTCCTTCCTTCTTTGTTTTCATTCTCTTTGTTTTGACTTCCTTCCTTCCTTCCTTCCTTCCTTCCTTCCTTCCTTCCTTCTTTGTTTTCATTCTCTTTATTTTGAGACAGGGTCTTTCTCTGTTACCCAGGCTGGCATGCAGTGGCATGATCATGGCTCACTGCAGCCTCGACTCTCCCAGGCTTCAGCTATCTTCCCACCTCAGCCTCCTGGGACCACAGATGTGCACCACCAAGCCTGGCTAATTAAAAAAATTTTTTTTGTAGACATGGGGTCTCCCTGTGTTGCTCAGGCTAGTCTCAAAACTCCTGGGCTCAAGTAAAATTCCCACCTTGGCATCCCAAAGGCCGGGTATTACAGGTGTGAGCCACCTTGCCCAGCCACAAGTGCAGGTTTCTTACATGCATATATTGCATAGTGATGAAGTCTGGATTTTTAGTTACCTATCACCTGAATAGTGAACATTGTACCGAGTGGGTCATTTTTCAACCCTCACTCCCCTCCCACCCTCCCACCTTTTGTAGTCTCCAATATCCATTATTCTACTCCGTAGGACATTTCATTTTTAAGACCCTATTTTAAAAAATTAATTATCAGTAATGCCGCTTGCAATGAGATCAAACCATATATTAGGTTGGTGCAAAAGTTATTGTGGTTTTTGCTATTAAAACTGTTTGCAAAAACTGCAATTACTTTTGCACCAACCTAATAGAAGGGTATAAGTAAAATGTGAAAATCTCCCTCCCACCCCACTCCCCGGAGATACACACACACAAACACACACACACACAGACAGACATGCACACACACTGACATAAGCTCACAAATGTATCAGACACATAGGATTTGTTTTTGAGGTGGGTACTATTGTTTATTCACGTTTTCATTTTCATATAGTCAAATTTGCTGTTTTTTTGGTGTACGGTTCTATGAGTTTTGGTAAACACATACAATAGGATACACAGTTTTTTTGTTTTAACCGAAAAAGGGATCACTTTAGATATTGGCTGGAAATTGCTTATGTTAATATATCTCACATATATCTTTTTTTTTTTTTTTTTTTTTTTTTTGAGACGGAGTCTCACTCTTTCGCCCAGCCTGGAGTGCAGTGACGCCACCTCCTGGGATCAAGCAATTTTCCTGCCTCAGCCTCCCGAGTAGCTGGGATTACATGTGCGCACCACCATGCCTGGCTAATTTTTTGTGTTTTTAGTAGAGATGGGGTTTCACCATGTTGGCCAGGCTGGTCTCAAACTCCTGACCTCAAGTGATCCACCAGCCTTGGTCTCCCAAAGTGGTAGAATTACAGGCATAAGCCACTGCACCCAGCCTCAGATATCTTTCCATGTGAGTGCCTAACCAGTGGTGTGCTGAAACCAGCTCATATCAGGTTGCAATGCCAGTTGTGTGCATCTCTTCCCAGCTCTACATTCAGTGGTGTTCAATGACATCAAGTTAGTGTCTTGAAATCCACCATGGTAGGAGTATTTACATCATCAAAATTGGCAAATGCTAGAAATCAGGAATCCCCCTCCCCCTAAAAAGCTAGTCATTAAAATATTTACCATCACTGCATCACTGCATAGAGCTCTCAGCCTTTTAAGAGAATAACAATTAATTACATTGGTATACCATAATTTATTTAAACATTTCACAGGTTATTTCTTCAACTCATGCTCTCCTTGGGAAAATACAGAGAGCAATTTGATTCACTATGAAGTAGAGCAGATAAGCAGCAGAGGAAGAAGTTTAAATCCATAGTCAATGATGCATTAATGGCAGCAGGAGTTCAATTATAACACCAGTGAGTGGGGATCTAGAGAAATGAACATACATTGGCATATTTAAATGTGCCGCAATGAGGAAAAAATGTTTTCTCTAAAAAGAATTCATCCTATACAGATAGCCACCACAGAATATGGAACTGTGAAATTATAGTCCTATATTTTCAATTCACTTGCCAATTTTAGCTTTAAGAAATCTCTGTGATTCAAATAAGCAAGTAGTGGGAACCAATGTGGAAATGCAGGATTTCTGAGATGAGCAGAGGAAATTTACTCAGAAATGGAACAGGCTGTCTGTACCGAAAGCAGTCGGAGCGTGACTCAGCAGAGGGAAAAAACACAGGTCATGTGGAAAAACCAGAAATGGAAAACAGTAGGGCAGCTTTTGTTCACCACACTGCCTGACATTCTTAGCCATTATGGATACTAGACAGGTCTTGTCCTGGTGTATTAAACTGATATCACATGTTCCTGGGTTTACGATGTAAGGAAAAATCAATGTTGTGCTTCATAGATAATTAGAAAAAGGCCAAGAAATTGTTAACCTTAACCCATACCCTTCCTTTTAGAAAGTCTTTGACATGCACACAATATAAGGCTGGCCAGTCAGCTGAAATGCAAAAAAATTGCCTGGCTGCTGCTGTCAGCCCCTTTGCTATGACAACGTTGTCACCAACATTGTCACACTCTATAGCAGTCCCAAGTTCATGAAGTAGACTCAGAGACCAGTTGTACAGAGTTGAGGAGAGAAGTCAGATTTAGCTGCCATGGAGTTAAGCATATTCTGTCCAGCTTATACCTAGTAAGGCCTGTTTTTCTGGGCTAAATACTTCTTTGAAGCATTGATTTCTTGTCTCCTTTGCTAGCAGTTTCTACTGCTGGATCAGGTTGTTCTTGATTTATGCTGCCTGGCCACCCAAGAAAATCAGCTTAAAATTTTGCTCCTCTGAAGTTCTCCCTTCTCAAATATCTACCTGTTTAAAAATTTTACTCTAAGAGGTTTGCTAGTCTTGACTAACTTTGTTCAATTTTAAAAGACATTTTAATAGAATTGCTTAAAATTTTAAGGGTTTTTATTATATAACTATTATGTGCTTATAATTGCAATATTAGAAAATACAGAAAAGAATAAAATACTATCTGTAATTATACCTCTAAGTATGAGCTTTATTTAAAATGCAAATAAAGGTATATATGATCCTTGGCCAGGCATGGTGGCTCACGTCTGTAATCCCAGCACTTTGGGAGGCCAAAGCAGGCAGATCTCTTGAGCTCGGGAGTTCCAGACCAGCCTGGGCAACATGGCGAAACCCCGTCTCTACCAAAAATACAAAAATTAGCTGGGTGCGGTGGTGCATACCTGTAGTCCCAGGTACTCGGGAGGCTGAGGTGGGAGGATGGCTTGTTCCCAGGAGGCGGAGGATGCAGTGAGCTGAGATCTCACCACTGCACTCCAGCCTGGGCAATAGAGCCAGACCTTGTCACATATATGTGTGTGTGTGTGTGTGTGTGTGTGTGTGTGTGTGTGTGTATGATCCTTAGGACTTTTTTACAAGTGGCAAATAACAAAATTATAATTAAGAGTATTAAGTAAAATGTTACATCCATAGAATGTTTTGCTAACATGTAATCATTAAATCCTCTTTTCTTTCATGTGAGTAAATGTAGTCAAACATTTCCAAACTACTGTCATGAGAATATCTCAATTCAATATTAAATTCAGTATATTTTATGTATTCTGCAAACAGAGCCTGGCCTGATAGTGTTAGCTACAGAGAGAGGGGAGGCAGCTGTAGCCCTGTTCATTTGCAGGCCTCAGACGAGTGGGCTGGGTCAGTGGCTCACATGCTAGATGGTGAAATGAAGCAGCTAATGGTCTCTTTTTCTCCTCTGCTCTAGTCAACATTGGCCTGTGCCCGAGCGTCTGCTCTCTGCTTGAATTTTAACAGCATGCTGATCCTGCTTCCTGTGTGCCGCAGTCTGCTGTCCTTCCTGAGGGGCACCTGCTCAGTGAGTCCCAGCCACTCCTAAGTCAACTTTCACATTAAAGAAGGAGACCCCAGACTCCTCAGTAGGACCGTCCAACACCATTCTCCTAGGAATGGAAGGCAGAAGTCTCCTTTGGTAGCTAAGGGGGTGGGTAAGGGTGGGTGAGTATTGGCATGCTATGTGCAAGAAGACATATTGGTTATGAGTTAGTGAATTTAATAAAGCTGGCTGGATACATCTGACCATGATCACTTTACATTTGTAGTTTTGCAGTCGCACACTGAGAAAGCAATTGGATCACAACCTTACCTTCCACAAGCTGGTGGCCTATATGATCTGCCTACATACAGGTAATGCAGGCAATCCATGAATCTGCAGACTCCAGGGCATTCAGAATCTTGCTTCATTCATCCATCCATATGCATATTCAAAAAATATTTATCGAGCACTGGGCACTATTTGTCAGGCACTGTTCTTGGCCTATTTCCATGAGCTTAAGTTCTATTCCTTTGGGAACAGAGTAAGTATAAACAAGATCTCTGTGCAGTCGAGGGTTTATTGGGCACCTTCTATGCACTCAGTATTCTGCTAAGCACTATAATGCAGGATTCTTCTAGTCTCATGGAGCACACCCGCCGTGATGTTGCTGAGATGCCTCTTAACATTTCTTTTCATCTTTCCATTTAGCTATTCACATCATTGCACACCTGTTTAACTTTGACCGCTATAGCAGAAGCCGACAGGCCACAGATGGCTCACTTGCCTCCATTCTCTCCAGCCTATCTCATGATGAGAAAAAGGGGGGTTCTTGGCTAAATCCCATCCAGTTCCGAAACACGGTGAGCTGACTTTCTAGCAAAGCATCTGAGATCAGGTCATGAGCAGGAAGTGCACAGGTGGACATTGTGTCAGACTGATATTTCTCCTTTCACAGACAGTGGAGTATGTGACATTCACCAGCATTGCTGGTCTCACTGGAGTGATCATGACAATAGCCTTGATTCTCATGGTAACTTCAGCTACTGAGTTCATTCGGAGGAGTTATTTTGAGGTCTTCTGGTATACTCACCACCTTTTTATCTTCTATATCCTTGGCTTAGGGATTCATGGCATTGGGTAAGATCCTCAAACCCTCATTCTCATGGCCCAGCCCCTGACCTTGCATAATTCTTTGTCCCAAACCATCCTTCTTTGTCTATTTCAGTGGAATTGTCCGGGGTCAAACAGAGGAGAGCATAAATGAGGGTCATCCTCACAAATGTGCAGAGTATTTTGAGATGTGGGATGATCATGACTGCCGCTGTAGGCGCCCTGAGTTTGAAGGGCAGCCACCTGAGGTAAGAGCCCTATGAGCAAGGACAGACTCTTGTTAGGAGCCGTTACTGTTATTATTCTTATTATTACTCTTATTGTTATTATCATCATTATTATTAGCTCAGTCCTGTGCTGGGTCTTATGAAGGATATCCATGGGGTTCCTACCTTTAAGAAACTTCCAATATCACTGGCAACAGGCAATTACAAGGGGATCTTGAAGAGAAAAAACTAATAGTTCTTGCATGTTGTGAGACCCTCTGCAAAGGTAATAATGATAGCCCACATTATTAATTGTGTTTATCATCTGCCAGCCTTGCTGCATAATATGGATTATTTCATTTATATATAGCAATAACCTATGAGATATGTACTTCTTTTTTGTCTAAATTTTGAAACAAAAGGACAGGAATCCAAGAGATTAAGTAAACTGACAGGCTCTTACAGTAAGTAAGTAGTGGAGCTTGAATACAAGCCCAGGCCTTTTGGATTCCAAAAGTTTGAACTCTTGACCACTACACTGCCCCAAAGCTCAGCTGTGATATTCCAGTCAAATTCTGGGGGGAAATAAAGCATTCTTGAAGTGGGCTTTCTTTGGTGTTCTAAGACTATGCTTGGAAATTTTTGTTAGATACTGGGCGATCATGAAACTGTGTTCTAGGGAACTCAAGGTGTGCACCAGGGTAATTCTTGCAGATATTATGATTTACCTTTGCTTTCTCACAAAATAGGTTATATTGAGGAGTAAATGGAAGGGGAAGGTTGATTTGTGGTGCCTCAAAGTACTCTGAGAATGATTAAGGTCTTTAAATCAGATTCAGGATTAAGAGCAATAGCTTAGTTCTCATCTGGAACACGAAAAATATATAAAACAAAAAGTCTTATAAAGTTGGCATTTTAATTCAGCAGGAAAAGGATAAATTAATAATTTTTAGTACAAGAAGATCATCATCTGGGAAAAAAGGTATATTTTCATTTCACACCTTGTACTAAAATATGAATCGAGGATACATGAAGCAAAAATTTACATGTAAAAAAACCCATAAAAGTACTTTAAGACCACATGGGAAGTTTTTTCTAATATTGAAATGGGGGAACATGTTTCTAAATAAAATAAACCATCCTGAAGCCATAAAAGAAGAGATATTTTTGCATGGCAAAAGAAATCCCCATCGGGCCAGGCACAGTGGCTCACACCTGTAATCCCAGCAATTTGGGAGGCTGAGGTGGGTGGATTGCTTGAGCCCAGGAGTTTGAGACCAGCTGGGCAACATGGCTAAACCCCATCTCTACAAAAAAATGCAAAAATTAATTGGGCATGGTGGCGTGGAGGGTGAGGTGAAAGGATTACTTGAGCCTGGGAGGTTGAGGCTGCAGTGAGCTGTAATCATGCCACTGCACTCCAGCCTGGGTGACAGTGAGATCCTGTGTCAAAACAAACAAACAAACAAACAAACAAACAAAAATTCCCATTGTAAATAAAGATAGACAAAAAATTACCAAGTAGGAAAAGTATTTACAACTCACAGGCCATGGACTAATTTTCTAATATATCAATAACTCCTAGAAATCAATAAGAAAAAGCCTAATAACATGATAAAAAGAGATAAGATATGAACAGAATGATCTCAGAAATGGAGATATATCTTTATCTTAAATATATGAAATGATGCTTAATGTTATTCATAATGGAAAAAATGCCAAATAAAACCACAAGAATCTGTTAACCTGATAGATTAGCAAAGATAAAAAACCTGCTAATGTATGGTGTTGGCAAGAGTATGGAGAAATGCTCTTATGCATTGCTGGTGAGAGTGTAAACCTATACAACTGCTTGTAGAGAGTGATTTGGCAGTAGCAATTAAGCTTTAAAACTCGACTTCCAATTTATTCCACCAATATACTTAAATACATGTTAAATTACATGCATTAAGTTATTCATTACAGCATTGTTAAATAGAAAAGAAGATTGGAAACAAGTGTCCCTCAATGGGGAACTAGTTACATTTTGGGACTTTCATGCAGTGGAATAGTCTGCAACCAGTAAAACGAAAGAGAGAGCACCATAGACACTAATAGGGACCAGTCTCTAAGATGTTAAATGTAAAAGGCAGGGCAGTGTATATAGTCTCCTATCATTTGCATTGAAAAGATCATTTAAATGCCTGTTCTCCAGAAGAATTCACAAAATAATAACATTACCTCTGGGGATCTGGAGGGGAAGGAGGATTTGCTTTTTATTGTATATCCTGTTGTACTTTCAGATTTTGTACCATATACATGTATTACCTATTTAGAAACTAATTTTGTAATAAGATAGATGGAGTGCTAGCTACACAAATAAAGAATGGACCACTAGCTACACTAATAAAGAAAAAAGAGAGAAGATCCAAAAAACACAATCAGAAATGACAAAGAGGACATTACGACTGACCCCACAGAAATTAAAAAAAAAAAAAAAAACCCTCAGAAAATAATATGAACATCTCTATGCAAAAAAAAAAAAAAAAAAAAAAAAAAAAAAAAAACCCTAGAAGAAATGGTTTAAAAACCTAGAAGAAATGGATAAATTCCTGGACACATAATACAACCTCCCAAGACCAGACCATGAAGAAATTTAATCCCTGAGCAGACCAATATTGAGTTCCAAAACTGAATCAGTAATAAAAAAACTTACAACCAAAAAAAGCCCAGGACCAGACAGATTCACAGCCAAATTCTTCCAGATGTATAAATAAGATCTGGTACCATTCCTACTGAAACTATTGCAAAAAAATTGAAGAGGGTCTCCTTCCTAACTCACTCTGTGAGGCCAGCATCATCCCGATAGCAAAATGTGGCAGAGATACAATGAAAAAAGAAAACTTCAGGTCAATATCCTTGATGATCATCGATGAAAAAATCCTCAACAAAATACTGGCAAACTGAATCCAGCAGCACATCAAAAAGCTAATCCACCACGATCAAGTAGGCTTTATCCCTGGGATGCAAGTTTGGTTCAACATAGGCAAACCAATAAATGTGATTCATCACATAAAGAGAACTAAAGACAAAAACCATATGAGCATCTCAGTAGATACACAAAAGGCTTTCAACAAAATTCAACATTCCTTCATATGAAAAACTCTCAGCAAACTAGGCATTGCAGGAACATATTTCAAAATAATAAGAGCCATCTATGACAAACCCACAGCCAACATCATACTGAATGGGCAAAAGCTGGAGGCATTCCCATTGAAAGCTGGAACAAGACAAGGATGCACTCTCTTACCACTCCTATTTAACATAGTGCTGGAAGTCCTGGCCAGAGCAATCAGGCAGGAGAAAGAAAGAAAAGGCATTCAAATAGGAAGACAAAAAGTCAAACTATCCCTGTTTGCAGACAATATGATTCTATACCTAGAAAACCCCATAGTCTATGTCCAAAAGCTCCTAGATCTGATAAACATCTTCAGCAAAGTTTCAGGATACAAAAGCAATATACAAAAATGAATGGCATTGCTATACCCTGACACCCAAGCTGAGAGTCAAATCAAGAATGCAATCCCATTCACAATAGCCACAAAAAGAATAAAATACCTAGGGATACAGCCAACCAGGGAGGTGAAAGATCTCTCCAATGAGAGTTACAAAACACTGCTCAAAGAAATTAGAGATGACACAAACAAATGGAAAAACATTCCATACTAATGGATAGGAAAAATCAATATCATTAAAATGGCCCTACTGCCCAAATCAATTTACAGATTCAACATTATTCCTACCGAACTACCAATGACATTCTTCACAGAATTAGAAAAAAACTATTTCAAAATTCATATGGAACCAAAAAAGAGCCCAAATAGCTAAGGCAATCCTAAGCAAAAAGAACAAAGCTGGAGGCATCATGTTACCCAACTTCAAACTATACTACAAGGCTACAGTAACCGAGACAGCATGGTACTGGTATAAAAACAGACACACAGACCAATGGAACAGAAATAATGTTGCATACCCATGACCATCTGATCTTTAACAAACTCAACAAAAATAAGCAACGGGGAAAGGACTCCCTGTTCAATAGGTAGTGCTGGGATAACTGGTTAGCCATATGAAGAATGAAACTGGACTCCTTCTTTACACCGTATACAAAAACCAACTCAAAATGGATTAAAGACTTAAATGTAAAACCCCCAACTATAAAAACCCTGGAAGACAACCACCCTGGAAGACAACCTAATACCATTCAGGACATAGGCCCCGGCAAAGATTTCATGATGAAGATACCAAAAGCAAATGCAACAAAAGTGAAAATTGACAAATGGGATCTAATTAAACTAAAGAGCTTCTGCACAGCAAAAGCAACTATCAAGAGAGTAAACAAACAACCTAGAGAATGTGAGAAAATATTTGCGAACTACACATCTGACAAAGGTCTAATATCTAGCATCTATAAGGAACCTAAACAAATCAACAACAACAACAACAAAGAATAAATTATCCCATAACAAAGTGGACAAAGTCTCAAAAAAAAAAAAAAAAAGTGGGCAAAGGACATAAAGAAACACTTTTCAAAGAAGACACACATGCAGCCAACAAGCATATGAAAAAATGCTCCACGTCACCAATCATTAGAGAAATGCAAATCCAAACCACAACGACACACCATTTCACGCTCTTCTTTTATGGCTTCAGGATGGTTTGTTTTATTTAGAAACATGTTCCCCCATTTCAGTATTAGAAAAAAACTTCCCATGTGGTCTTAAAGTACTTTTTTGAAGAAATATGTGTATGGTATATGTACCATTTTAATCATTTTTGAAGTAAACATTGTGGCCATTACTTTACTCATGTATAATACTTTTTCACACCTTAATTATTTATCTCCATTTCCTGGAAGTGAAGTTCCAGGGTAAAAGAGAAAGAACACTTTTGAGGCTATTGAGATGTGCTGCTCAATTGCTCTCTGGGAAGATGTTGCCAATTTGCATTTTCAGCCATGTGAAATGCATGTTCAATTTGCATGCCCACGTGAACACTCCCATTTCCCTGAATCCCAGTTAATGCTGGGCATTATTACTTAAAGTTGTTTTTCAATTTGAGAGACTAAAACGGTATCTTGTTTTAATATTTATTACTCTGACTATTTCTGAGGCCAATATTTTTTTCACATTGTTATTACCCATTTCTTAAATATATTTTTCCTCAAATTCAGCTAGAGAATTTTTTCAAATAAGAAATGACACTGAATTGCATAATGTTCACTCTGTTTGACTTATCCCATCTCTGCCTCTTCCTTCCCTAGAGATACTCAAGGAAGTTATTTACTTGCATCAGCTTAAGAAACCTCACTTCACACAGTCCCAATGTATCACACTTGAGCAACTGTGCAAGAAAGGACATAATTTAGTATTGCTAGGAAGTACATTTTTAGTAGTTCCTGTACAGGTAGAAACAAACTGCTGCTTTGCAAAGATCTCAGGGATAGAAAGGCTGCTTTATTTATTTATTTATTTATTTGTTTATTTATTTATTTATTTTATTTATTTTGAGATGGAGTCTCGCTCTCTCACCCAGGCTGGAATGCAGTGGCGCAACCTGGGCTCACTGCAACCTCCTGGATTCAAGTGATTCTCCTTCCTCAGTCTCCTGAATGGCTGGGACTACAGGCGCCCACCACCACGCCCAGCTAATTTTTTGTATTTTTAGTAGAGACAGGGTTTCGCTATGTTGCTCAGGCTGGGTCTCCAACTCCTGAGATCAGGCAGTCTGCCCGCCTCAGCCTCCTAAAGTGCCAGGATGAGCCACTGTGCCAGGCCTTAAAATTAAATTTTACATGTAATCTAAGAATAAAGATGTTTACCATGTATCCCATTTCTGTGCTTTTCTCTTGCTTCTTGGTCAGACTTGTAAATTTCCAGGAATTGGTCTGTTTTATGAATAACAGATTAGCAAACGACACCGTTGTCTTTTATTTTTTCTATTTCCGTCTTCCAGATTTGGTGAAATTAGTACCTTAAAAATGATACACATTGGAGAACTCAGTAAAGAATGAAGGATGAACTGCTACACAAATAAGTCCTAAACAAGAAATTAATGTGTAATCTCATTCTTAACCCTGTCTCTGTGCAGTCTTGGAAGTGGATCCTTGCACCGGTCATTCTTTATATCTGTGAAAGGATCCTCCGGTTTTATCGCTCCCAGCAGAAAGTTGTGATTACCAAGGTAAAGAATATGCACTTTCCTCTTGCTGTGATGAGTTCTCTTCTATCAGACTATAGAACTAAATTTTTATGTTGTCACCCTGAAGGGAATAAAGAGGAACTTGGAGGCCGGGCACCGTGGGTGGTAATCCCAGCACTTTGGGAGGCCGAGGAGGGCAGATCTGTTGAGGTCAGGAGTTCGAGACCAGCCTGGCCAACATGGCAAAACCCCGTCTCTACTAAAAATTTAAAAAAAAAAAAATTAGCTGGGCGTGGTGGTGCCCACTTGTAATTCTGGCTACTTGGGAGGCTGAGGTGGGAGAATCACTTGAACCCGGGAGGCGGCAGTTGCAGTGAGTCGAGTCGAAGTCACGCCATTGCACTCCAGCCTGGGTGACAGAGAGAGGCTCTGTCTCAAAAAACAAAAACAAAAACAAAAAAAACTTGGGTTTGGCATACAGTGCTGGACAGAACTGGGAAAGAGGGGCTTCGCCGAAATCATCAGGATGATTGTTTGGTGCACACAATGTTTGTTTATAAAGTTGAATTGGTTGCTAGCATTTAAAAATCTGGATGGAAGCTTTTGTTTGATTTTTTTTCAAAGCTATTTCTTGCTTCTCTTGAAGAATCAGAAAACCTGATAACATTGTCATAGTTCCATATTGCAACCACTATCTGGAGCTAAGTAGCTGCTGCCCTCTTTAGAGAGGATTTGTGTTTGTAGTTCACCACTGTCACCAGTCCTCTAGCTTCACTCATTTGCTTTATCTGCCTGTCCCTGTCGCCATTAGAGTTTGCCTTCTTTGGTCTATGTGCTTCATTCACTAGGTTGTTATGCACCCATCCAAAGTTTTGGAATTGCAAATGAACAAGCGTGGCTTCAGCATGGAAGTGGGGCAGTATATCTTTGTTAATTGCCCCTCAATCTCTCCCCTGGAATGGCATCCTTTTACTTTGACCTCTGCTCCAGAGGAAGATTTCTTCTCCATTCATATCCGAGCAGCAGGGGACTGGACAGAAAATCTCATAAGGGCTTTTGAACAACAGTATTCACCAATTCCCAGGTAGGTCCTTGAGACCAGAAGAGTCCCAGACCAGAATGCAGACTGGCAGAAAAGAGAAAGCAATTCTTCCTTGAACCTTAAGTTTGGTACAATAGAATAGGATTAAAATAAATATGCAGAAGTCAACCATGGGAACAACTATGTTTCTGGGAGGATGTTTGAGGTTAGAGGTGGAGGGGAGTCTTCAGTTGCCCGTTATCTTCTGTCTTCTGCCAGGATTGAAGTGGATGGTCCCTTTGGCACAGCCAGTGAGGATGTTTTCCAGTATGAAGTGGCTGTGCTGGTTGGAGCAGGAATTGGGGTCACCCCCTTTGCTTCTATCTTGAAATCCATCTGGTACAAATTCCAGTGTGCAGACCACAACCTCAAAACAAAAAAGGTATAATCCCGTATATCACTTTTCATCTGACCTGGGTCTGACAAGTCTATTGCATTCTTGGGTTAAGTTCTTTACAATTGATAAGAGCAAGCTATCCCTGGGGTTATGAGAATAAGTGACCACTTCTCTTGGCCAGGACATCCACTTCAACAGATTTATCATAAGAACAGCGTCTTCTTTTCTATTTGGAGTTTAAGATAACCCTGACCAAAGATGTTGGAAGGCTCTTTCCTAAGGAAAATTGTCAGAACTCTGAACATTCCTGCTGCCTAAAGTTTGCGGCTCTGTAAATGTGACTTTTAAGGTCACCTAATAAGGCTATGTTCTCTTTTGCTGATTTCAGATCTATTTCTACTGGATCTGCAGGGAGACAGGTGCCTTTTCCTGGTTCAACGACCTGTTGACTTCCCTGGAACAGGAGATGGAGGAATTAGGCAAAGTGGGTTTTCTAAACTACCGTCTCTTTCTCACTGGATGGGACAGCAACATTGTGAGTCCAAATAACACACTAATTCACCTAGTAAACATAAGACGAATGTCAGACAAAGGATAGTGCATATGGATTAGAAGTTATTTCTTATGATTTCCTACCTGACCTCACACTCACACACAAGTTTAAAAGTGGTGGAAAGAAGGAAGAGGCAGCTATCAGGACTTGGTTTTTCTTTTCTTTCTTTTTTTTTTTTTTTTTTTTTTTGAGACGGAGTTTTGCTCTTGTCACCCAGGCTGGAGTGCAATGGCGCAATGCCGGCTCACCGCAATCTCTGCCTCCTGGGTTTAAGCAATTCTCCTGCCTTAGCTTCCCGAGTAACTGGGATTACAGGCATGCACCACCACACCCAGCTAATTTTGTATTTTTAGTAGAGATGGGGTTTCACCATGTTGGTCAGGCTAGTCTTGAACTCCTGACCTCAGGTGATCCACCCACCTCGGCCTCCCAAAGTACTGGGATTACAGGCGTGAGCCATGGCGCCCAGCCTAGGACTTGGTTTTTCTAACTTTTTATTCCTCTGAATCCAGGTTGGTCATGCAGCATTAAACTTTGACAAGGCCACTGACATCGTGACAGGTCTGAAACAGAAAACCTCCTTTGGGAGACCAATGTGGGACAATGAGTTTTCTACAATAGCTACCTCCCACCCCAAGTAAGTATATTTTCCTCCAGTAAGATGAGTTTGCGGGGGCCATGTGCGGTGACTTACTGCCTGGAATCTCAGCACTTTGAGAAGCCGAGGCAGGTGGATCACCTGAGGTCAGGAGTTCGAGACCAATCTGGCCAACTTGGCAAAACCCCGTCTCTACTAAAAATACAAAAATTAGCTGGGTGAGGTGGCGCATGCCTGTAACCCCAGCTACTTGGGAGACTGAGGCAAGGAGAATCACTTGAACCTGGGAAGCAGAGGTTGCAGTGAGCTGAGACTGCGCCATTGCACTTCAGCCTGGGCAACAAGAGAGAAACTCCGTCTCAAAAAAAAAAAAAAAAAAAGATGAGTTTGCGGAGTTAGGATTTAGGAAAGGTATTACAGCATGTTGAACACTCTTAAGAAAAGATCTCTGGGGCAGAAACCTTTTGTGCCATTCTTAGATTCTTGGTGAAGATTGAGGAAATTTCATCTGGGGTTTTAGAAAAATAGGGTCATGATCTTGAAATTGATGAAAAGAGGTTTTTTTGCCCTAGCAAACTCCATTCAAACAGTGAGGCAAGTAGAATCAGTTCTGATCTATCCTACCAAACAAACTAGAGAACTGGAGCAATTCAAATGCATTTTTTGGGGGAGGGGACTCAATAATCTCTACTTAAAGTAACAAAGGTATTATCCAGTTTACTGGCCACCCGAGCTCAATCTTTCTGGAGGGTTTTGAGACATGTTAGAGCACAAAAAACCCTGGTGCTATGAAATCAGCCATGCCAATGGGAAGGAGATGAAGCTGAGATTCCCTGAACAAGTAGGCAGGTGATGATCAATTCAATGCTACAAATATTCTTGATTACCTTTTTTTTTTTTTTGAGATGGAGTTTTGCTTTTGTCGCCCAGACTGGAGTGCAGTGGCATGATCTCTGCTCACTGCAATCTCCGCCTCCCAGATTCAAGCGATTCTCCTGCCTCAGCCTCCTGAGTAGCTGGGATTACAGGTGCCCACCACCATGCCCAGCTAATTTTTTTGTATTTTTAGTTGAGATGGGGTTTCACCATGTTGGTCAGGCTGGTCTCGAACTCCTGACCTCAGGTGATCCACCTGCCTCAGCCTCCAAAAGTGCTGAGATTACAGGCATGATCCACCGAGCCCAGCCTTGGTTACCTTTTTTTTTTAAAATTTTTATTTTTTTATTATACTTTAAGTTCTAGGGTACATGTGGATAACATGCAGGGTTACTTTTTATAAGCTCAGCTCTCACCATTCTAGAAGCTTTGGAGGTTGAAAAAGAAATAGGTTCTTGCCCTCAAGGAGAATACATTTGAATAAGAGACACACACAATCACCTCAAAGCAGAATAATGCACTCCGTGAAACAGGTGTGTGGACGCTAGAGGGAAGAAAAGTCTATGGCCACATGGCATGAGGTGATTAAGAAAGGCTTCAGGAAGGCAGTGGCTAGAGCACTGAGTGACTTGGATTCAGATGATCCTGGGTCCTCATGCTGGTTCTTTTTTTTTTTTTTTTTTTTTTTTTTTTTGAGACACAGTCTTGCTTTGTCACCCAGGCTGGAGTGCAATGGTGCGATCTCGGCTTACTGCAACCTCTGCCTCCTGGGTTCAAGCTGTTCTCCTGCCTTGGCCTCCCGAGTAGCTGGGATTACAGGCGGCCGCCTGCCATCACACCCAGTTAATTTTTTTGTATTTTTAGTAGAGACAGGGTTTCACCATGTTGGCCAGGCTGGTCTCGAACTCCTGACCTCAGGTGATTCACCCACCTTGGCCTCCCAAAGTGCTGGGATTACAGGAGTGAGCTGCTGTGCCCGACCTTCATTCCGGTTCTGACACTGTCTAGTTATGAGACCTTGAACTTCAGAACCCTCTGATCTTGATTCCTCATCTGTAAGACAAGGGTCATATTAGTGAATGCCTGCTCTACTCACTTGCAGGGTTGTTGTGACAATTAAGTGAGACAATATATGAAAAAAATGCTTTGTAAACTGTAAAGCAGCATATAAGCATAAGAGATGCTAATTATCCTGTTGAATGTAACTGAAGTTTTGAGAGAGTATGAGGTTGTCAGGAGAGAGAGAAAGAGAGAGAGGGAGAGAGAGAGACTAGCAAGGGACAGAGTACCAAGGAATGCTGCCTAGGTTATATGGGAAGGGAAAAAGACAAACCAGGGAAGAAATAGGAGTACACAGAGAAGCGGTGTCACAGAACCCAAGGGAGCAAATATTAGAGAAGCATGGTCAATAGTGTTGGAAGAGTAGCAGGGTCAGGAAATATTTATTTAGCTTAAGCATATTTATAGACAGAACAGGGACCATTACATAGAATAAAATAAATACATGAAATAGGGGAGAGGACTAAGATGGCCATAATAAAAGATGGACAATAGTGTTAGCAAGGAAGTGGAGAAGTTGCAATCCTACTACATTGCTTGTGGGAATGTGAAATGGTACCACACTTGGGGAAAACTCTTTGACCGTTCCTCAAAGTGTTAAACACAGTTTCCGGCCGGGCACGGTGGCTCACTCCTGTAATCCCAGCACTTTGGGAGGCCAAGGCGGGTGGATCACGAGGTCAGGAGTTCGAGACCAGCCTGGCCAACATAGTGAAACCCCGTCTCTACTAAAAATACAAAAAATTAGGCCGGGCACGGTGGCTCATGCCTGTAATCCCAGCACTTTGGGAGGCCAAGGCGGGTGGATCACGAGGTCAGGAGTTCGAGACCAGCCTGGCCAACATAGTAAAACCCTGTCTCTACTAAAAATACAAAAAATTAGGCCGGGCGCGGTGGCTCATGCCTGTAATCCCAGCACTTTGGGAGGCCAAGGCGGGTGGATCACGAGGTCAGGAGATCAAGACCATCCTGGCTAACATGGTGACACTCCATCTCTACTAAACATACAAAAAAAAAATTAGCCGGGTGCAGTGGCGGGCGCCTGTAGTCCCAGCTACTCAGGAGGCTGAGGCAGGAGAATGGCGTGAACTCAGGAGGTGGAGCTTGCAGTGAACTGAGATTGTGCCACTGCACTCCAGCCTGGGTGACAGCAAGACTACGTCTCAAAAAAAAAAAAGGTGAAAAAAATTAGCCAGGCATGGTGGTGGGCACCTGTAATCCCAACTACTCGGGAGGCTGAGGCAGGAGAATTGCTTGAACCCGGGAGGCGGAGGTTGCAGTGACCCCAGATCACACCATTGTACTCCAGCCCAGGTGACAGTGCGACACTGTGTCTCAAAAAAAAAAAAAAAAAAAAAAAAAATCACAGTTTCCATACGACCCAGCAATCCCACTCCTTGTTATACACCCAAGAGAAATGAAAATATATGTCTACACAAAAACGTGTACATGATGTACACAGCAGCATTAATCATAATAGCCCCAAAGAGAAAACAAGCCAAGTGTCCATCAATAGATGAATGGATGAAGCAAATGTGGTATATTCACATACTGGAATATTATTTAGCTATAAAAAAACAACAACAACAAGGTACTTATACATGCTACAACATGGACAAATCTTGAAAACATCATGCTGAAAAACACCAGACACCAAAGGCCATGTATTGTATGACTTCACTTATGTGAAACGTTCAGGATAGGCATACCCAACAGAGACAGAAAGTAGGTAAGTGATCGTCTTGAGTAGGACAGGGTAGTTGGGAGGAAATGAGGACTGGTAATGTGGATAGGGTTTCTTTTGGGGATGATGAAAATGTTCTGGAATTAGACAGCGGTGATGGTTGCATAACTTTGTGGCTATGCGAAAAAGCACAAATTGCACACTTCAAAGGGGCGAATGTTGTGGTATAGAAACTATACCATGATTAGATTTTTTAAAAAGAGGGGGAGAGAAGGGTATGAGAGAAGGAAGAAGAAGGTGAGACCCAGAGCACAGTTGGAAAGATTAGCCTTGGCAAGAAAGAACACCACCTCTCCAGTAGGAGAAATTTTGAGGTGGGGATAAGCTCACAGTGGATGGGTTTAATGGGAGCTAATACATATGTACTTGCTATGTGGCAGGCATTTTTCTCATTTCTTTACATGTTCTTATTTAATCCTTAAAACAACCCTATGTGGTGGGTACTATTTTTATCCCCATTTTACAGGTGGGAAAGCTGAAACAGAGAGAGGTTAAGAAATTTGCCCTTCTCGGGCATTGTGACTCACGACTGTAATCCCAGCACTTAGGGAGGCTGAGGCAGGTGGATCACTCGAGGTCAGAAGTTTGAGACCAGTCTGGCCAACATGGTGAAACCCCATCTCTACTAAATATACAAAAATTAGCTGGGCATGCTAGCGCATGCCTGTAGTCCCAGCTACACAGGAGGCTGAGGCAGAAAATTGCTTGAACCCGGGAGGCGGAGGTTGCAGTGAGCCGAGATCGTGCCACTGCACTCCAGCCTGGGCGACCGAGCAAGACTCTGTCTCAAAAAAAAAAAAAAAAAAAAAAAAAAAAGAAAGAAAGAAAGAAAAAAGAAATGTGCCCAAAGTCCCACAGGTAGGATAAATGTCAGAGCTGAGATGTGAGCCCAGACAACGCAGACTGGCTGCACAGTCTGGCACTTAGCCACTGCACTGTCCTATGTCTCTCATCTGTGTTCTCAAAACAGGGAAGGCTGAGTGCTGAAAGTGTTAAGGGCTGAGAGCATATTTGGGGTTTGTGCGCAGAAAAGGTTAAAAAACTACCATGAAGAACGTGGGAGTTAACAACCAAATTTTTATTCAAGGTTCTTGGAAGTAGTAGAGGCCTAACAGAGGCAGTTTCTCCATTCTATCATTGTTGCATTCTAGCCCGTACTATTGTTCTGTTCCTACAGGTCTGTAGTGGGAGTTTTCTTATGTGGCCCTCGGACTTTGGCAAAGAGCCTGCGCAAATGCTGTCACCGATATTCCAGTCTGGATCCTAGAAAAGTTCAATTCTACTTCAACAAAGAAAATTTTTGAGTTATAGGAAAAAGGACGGCAATCTGCATTTTGTTTCTCCTTTGTATCTTCAGTAATTTACTTGGTCTGGTCAGGTTTGAGCAGTTACTTTGGGGTAAGAATGTACCTCTCAAGCCTTGACTCTCTGGTATTCTTTTTTTGATTGCATTCAACTTCGTTACTTGAGCTTCAGCAACTAAAGAACTTGTGAAGTTCTTAAAGTTCTGAAGTTCTTAAAACCCATGGATCCTTTCTTGGAAAAATAACTGTAAACCTTTCTGGACAGCCATGACTGTAGCAAGGCTTGATAGCAGAGGTTTGGTGGTTGAGTTATACAAATAACCCCAGGTGATTTTATCAATTCTGGTGTTACCATCTCCTGAATTTTGGTTTGTAATCTTTTGTCTCTCCCATCCCCACAGAAGATTTCTAAGTAGGTTGACTTTTTAAATAAAAATTTATTGAATAATTAATGACAAACATAACAATAAACATAAATAATAAACAAAATTACTGAGAACCCCATCCCCATATAACAGCAACAGTGTACATTTTTACTGTTACTTTTGATATGGTCTTATCCAGTGTGAACAGCAATTTATTCTTATTTTTGCTTGTCAAAAAATAAAGGATTTTCTTCTTTGCTTGATGAATGAGTCTTTTGTTCTTTTTGGGCTCTCCATTGTTCTTTTGCTCTCTCTTTTGTTCTTTTTGGGAAAGAAAATCTAGAAGGTATGCTAATTGTAATTGAAATTGTATTATAATTGCAAGTCAGCTATATTGTCGTCTTGTATTATTCTGTTAAAAGCGATTGTGAAAACCTGAACTCCATGTTAGGACGACTTATTTAGTCAAGAGGAGCTCTTTATCACTATTTTTATTAAAGGAGTTTATTAATGTCTAGTTTAAAAAATAATTTATAATTTTCATAGATTTTTGTGGACTCCTGCCTATATCGCTAAGGAATAATTCAGCTAATGACATAAACAAAACGCCTTCGTTCTCTATCAGAATGCTTTTTATTTCTGCCATCTACCCAACCTCAGCCTAGAAGGACCACACTGGCTCTGGGATGTTAGGCGTCACAGTGAATCACTAGAAGGAGAGAAGCCCAGGGCTCTTAAGAGAGAAACCTCACACTTCATTGTGCCCAGACAATTCAACTCATTATAGATTTAGAAGAATGGTTCTACTGAATTAGCATTATATTATGTTTTTTCTACCATTAAGTGACCAAGAATGAACAAATGGTTGTTTCTAATATTTTAGGAACCTCTATGGCTTGAGGAATAAAACCTTTTTTTTGGTCACTAGTCTGAGCACAATAAAGGTAGGTCATGAACTCATGGTGACTAATAATGTTTCATTTATTACAACAGTAAAAAAATACTGATAAGTTGTTTACATAGGGAGGGATACCACTGCTGTTGCCAATTTGTTCACCCGGATTTCAGCTAATTCAGGTTTAATAAGGCTTTGGGAAAATGCACAATGAAACCTTGAAGACATGGTTCTTATTAGACAACTACTGACCAAATGACAACTTCATCTTCAATGACCTTGATTTGGAATCTTGAAACTTATAATGAGTTCCTAATGAGAAAGGCATCACTCTTGGTCTCCATGTCTAAATATATTGACACACTCACATCAAGATATGATGGCTGCCAAAATCAATATCCCAAGGCTTGAATATTTATAGAAGTAGACATAAATTCAAGATTTATTATATTCATGGTAATGAAAATAATAAATCCTATGCACAGCCAACATCCAAGTTGAACTGGGGATGAGCAGGATATACAGAAAGCTCCTCATCTGCTTTGAGCAAGTTTTTCTTGCAAAGTTGTAATACGAAATACCTTAATCAGCAAATTTCTTATAAATGTTTATGAGTAGAAAATCCTTCAATTTCATTGTCGCTCAAAAAGTTGATTATCTTTGCATTCTTTTGCTTGACATGTAAGCAATATGCTATTACATTCTCTAAGCCTATGCCAGGCTTTTAATTCACCTGACCATAATCCTAACCCAGAGGATAGGATTCCAAGAATATAAGTTGGCTCAAAAGTAGTTCCAGTAGAACTTTACTGATTATTAAGGCAACTCTTAACCTCTTGAGGTTGGCCTGATGGAGAGAAACCATGTTCCTCCTTAATGCCACTACGAGAGAGATGGGGTGGGGTGGAGGGAGAGAGGAGGAGGTGGTGGCAAGAGAGAGAGAGAGAGAGAGAGAGAGAGAGAGAGAGAGAGAGAGAGAGAAATACTAGGCAAGAAGACCCATAGGTTAGAGCTAATGGCACTAATTATGTTCATACCTATCCACAAGGAAGCAGGCAGGAGCAGACCTAATGAGCAATCTGACTGTATTCTACATTTGGTCCACTTAAAATCAGAAGAATGTACAAGTTTTAGGGTTTTCTGTGTTTTAAGTTCCCAGAATAAATGTAGTTACAGGGTAGGGCTGCAGGTTAGGGACTGCCTGGAAGATAGGATGAAATGTATTTTGTTCATTTGATTTCTGTTTTTATTTCATCTCGAACATGTGAAAAATCAGTGGCTTTTTAAACTTTCAAAGTTGACTGCCTAGACTGATAAGTTTAAGAACACACAAGTAAATGTCAACAGTCTCTTGTGTTGCTGACAGACTCAAACCAGTGCTAAAACAATTTTTGTCTTAACTCTGAATTATACACATTCAGACCTGCTATTGAAACAAATGCATTTTGATATTTGGATTTTTCTAAACTAAACACATGGCTGTGCTAGGCTCTTTGCTCTGTTAGCCTTCTGACCATTTTATAGCTCTAAGCACGTGCTATTTTCTCCCAGAAGACTCAAAGCCTTATAATAATTCTTACTGGAAGCAAACTAAACAAAAACCAAGTTCCAGAAAACATTGCTTCTGAGAAATGCTCAAATATCATCAAGAAGAATAAATGGTTAACTTAAAATAAAAACAAAACTATGGCAATATGTTAAAGTACAATACTGCAGTAAGGGTAGAAAACACATCTAAGGTTTCACCCTTAGTGTTAAGCTTTTTAAAAGCAAACAGGTCATGTATATCAATTTGCAGTGTACTAAAATTGTGTTCAAAGTTTATTTCAAGTCACAGAAAATATACAAACTAAGACAATAAAATGAAGTGATTTTGTTCTGAGAGAAGGTGATGGGAGTCCTCCACCTGGCACTGATTTGAGTCATTCAAGGGTTAGGATGCAGGTCATCGTTTTTCAATATTTCAACAAAATTATAGAATTTCCAGATTTCTTGCCAGGTATTTTTGAAAACCTGTAAGAAGAAGTTAGGAGAAAGCCATTAGGAGTGAAGACAAAGCTCTCTTCAGGAAAAACTTCAGGAAAAAAATAAAAGGCTAGGGGAGGGAGGACAGGCATACCATCAAATCACCAGGACAGATTTGCAAGGTGTCTGTCTCCAACCTCCTGCCTCCTCAAAGTAATCATCCCTTGCAGTAGGGTTTCTCAACCTCAGCACTATTGACATTTTGGGCTGGAGCACTAGTTGCTATTGGGAAGTGGGTAAGGGGGACCATCCTGTGCATTATGGGATGTTTAGCAGCATCTCTGGCCTCTACCCACTCAATTCCAATAGCATGCCATACTCCCTAAAGTTGTGATGACCAAAAATGTCTCGAGACATTGCCTAATGTCCCCTAGGGGGCAAAATTGCCCCTGTTTGAGAACCATTCATCTCTAATGATAATAGTATAGAAGCCTGTCCGTGATGGCAGAGATGGATCACAACTAGCTAGGTATAGGATGAAGGAAAAGGAAAAGCCAACACTTCAGCCATGGTATGCACAAACACCAGTAGACACACAATAAAATCCTGCCCACAAAAAATTGCATAGAACCACACATACATACACACAAATTATGATAGGTTTATTAAAATGGTGAAAACTGAGTTTGTAGTCAAGTTAACAGTAATGTGCCAATGTCAATTTCTTGGTTTTGTACTACACTGGGTGAAGGGTATATGAGACTCCTTGTACTATTTTTCCAACTTTCCTTGAGTCTATGATTATTTAAAAATGAAAGGTAAAAAAAATAGACAAAAACTTTGCCCTGTGGTTAATATGCAAGGCCTTAAATTAAATATCTTATAAGCAAAAATATAATGAAAGAAATTTCAGAAACATTTCTACCACTACTATCCAGAAACAGTAAGCGGTAATTTTCTCACATTGTAGGGAATGCCTTCTCTGGCATAAGTAAATTAGTAAAAGAGAAATAATTTGTATCTATTCCTCTGAATGTAATAGGTAGTCTATACTTTTACTTAAAAAAAAAGAATATGTGGGGTTTGTGGAATAAAACGTTAAGGTACCAAAAGTCTACAGAGCCCTCCATCTATGATAGCTTCTCATTAATTCATTTAAAGTCTAAATACATATATGATGCATAGTTGCAGTTTAAACGTTTAAAGACATCACAAATATGGATTAAAATGATATATTTTGTAAGAGTGATAATTACTAATAGTTAAACGAGTTCACTATTATATAACATAAGGATAGGAATTATAATATGGATGGGGTGAAAGGAAGAAATTTAAATTGTGCTGTCCTACCTGATAGTGGGGCAACGCGAATTTTAAACTGTTTTTAGAAAAAAGAATTGTTTATAAAATACAAAATGCTGGGGAAATTTTTTTTTTAAAAAGGAAACACTGATACATGTATGTGTAATCAAGTTGTCACATAATTATTTATGTAGCAGGTTACCTGGATCCTTTCTTTTTTTTTTTTGAGGCAGGGTCTCACTCTGTGACCCATGCTAGAGTGCAGTGGCATAATCATGGCTCACTGCAGCCCTGACCTCCTGGACTCAAGCGATTCTTCCACATCAGCCTCACAAGTAGCTGGAACTATAGGCGCATCTCACCATGCCTGGCTAATTTTTAAAAAAAATGTTTGTAAAGATGGAGCCTCACTATGTTGCTTAAGCTGGTCTTGAACTCCTGGTCTCAAGTAATCATTCCACCTCAGCCCGCCAAAGCTGAGATTACAGGGCTAAGCCACTGTGCTTGGCCCCTGAACTCTTTCTGCCTAAATGATGAGCAAGAAAAATAAAGGTAGCAGGGTACAGCAACCTCCAAAATATATAGAAACTGATGGTGATGATGGACATTTACTACCTTAAATTATGTGCTATAATAGTTCAACATCAAAATATTCACTGTAAAATAAATACAGGAAACAAAATATTTACACATTTTATTGAAATGCTCTGTATTTTTTCCATTTTGACAGGACAGTTTGGAATAAAATAATACAACTGATTGTAGAAGGATACACACCAAACTATATTTAGAGGTTTTGTCTGGGGAACAAGATAGAGGAAACAGGGCTTTTTACCTTTCACTTTCTACATTTCTATATATGATTACTTTTGTTAAACTGATCATACATTACCTTTGTCATTAGGAAAGATTATAAGCAATTCAACAACTGAACAAATATTGTATAGCCTTACTCTATCCCTACAGGAGCTAACCTACTGAAGGGTAAAGAAGAGTCTAGCTAAGTGGATTGAGGGCCGCTGAGAGAACAATCTTGTTGGTTAAGGTTAAAAGTATATACTGAGAATAGACAAGGAGCTAGTCCTACTCAGATGGGATTAAGTTTGCTCACCTATCAAGGTGCTCCAGTGGATTTCTGTATTTGTTCCTTTAAAATCAGGATACTCTGCCTTTGCTCAGGAGGCAACATGGCAATCTGGTCTGCAGTCAGTTGTAGAACCTGCATAATCAAAGCAGCCTGTGCAGAGGAAAAAAAAGGTAGTCAGTTTTAATGATGGCAGCTAAAAAATACAAAACAAAACAAAAAACCCATCACCAGCTTCTGTCCAAAAAGCTACTGTAGTGGGATATGAAGCAAAATGGAAAAAGGAAGAACATTTCACACAGAAAGAAACCAACAGCTCCCCTCCAAAACAAAAACAAAAACAAAAACAAAAAAACAAAAAAAAACAAAACTGGTGAGAAAAGCTACAATGAAAAGAACAAGTATAAATTAAAATACCTAAGATTAGACGATTCAAAACAGACAACTTCATGAACTCAAAGTTCCTGGAGACTAAGATGATATCTGTGAGCCCTGGAAATCCTTCAGGTTTTAATCCTGTTTTGAAAGTCTCTCTTTTTCACAAATTTTAGCCTTTCCCTCAGACATAAGCTCCCCACAATGGTCAAATATAAAAACAGAAAGATATAATCATGGGGAATCTACTACTGTTTTTAGGGATAAAGTAGAAAGGGAAGGAAAAAGCGTGCGGATTTTCAGGTCACTCTGGCCTGAACAAGAAAAACCTGCAATTGGCAGATGAATCTGAACTATAAAATAAGTTGCCATTTACATCCACTTAAGAACTTCACATCCATTAGCAACTTCAGGACCAGACTCACAAATTTTCAGGTAACAAGATCATAAAAGAGTTCTAAGTTAGAATAAACATCACCTCCAAAGGGACTTTGAAGACCCAGGATCGCCACATGGTAACTGTGAAAAGAGGAATCAAAAAGGCTAGAATTGTGCATAAGGAGGCAGTCAGACAGTGTTGCTTACCTTCTCATGATCCTGTGGAGTGACTTGGTTCTGCCCAGGACTAAAGCCGCCAGGCTGGCTTCCACCCTGTATACTCGCTCCTTGCATGCCTGTTCCCTGCATGACTGGGACCTATGTGCACAAAGAGAAAAAGAGATTTTTGGGATTTTTAATGTATAGCTAACCTGAATTCAGTAATAATGTGAAAAATTACGATCCCTACACAGATATGAGTAAAAACAGCAAACTAATGACTCTGAAGATCATTTTCTACTGTTAGCAATAGCAGAAGGCAGCGTTTAGCCAGAGATCAACTAGTAAGTTCGACATACTTGCTTACAACAGCTCCAGCACCATCAACAAATATCACACAGCACAACTGGATACCACTGAATTAATCAAAACTCAGCCAAATAAGCAAAGGGAAAACTGAGAGCACCCTGGAAACTAGCGCTCACTGGAAACACAAATGAAAGCCAACAGAGTCTAGAGAAAATGTATTCTGGTCCACTGGGGAAGTTAAATTCACAGGGCCACCCCCTCCCCTAGTTCAATCAGACACAGGTAGTTTGTCCCAAAGGGCCCTATCCCACAAGTGAAGCAGAGATGTTCATAATGTCAGAGTTAGAAAGGCAATGGGAAGACCTCCAGGCAAAAGACTGCTATTAGCCCAACATTTGCTGTTTATAGCTTTCCATAGAGAACATATGGCAGATGCTTTCTGCTAAATGTAGACCAAAAAATATGACTGACTTGAGTGAACGAACAAAGTACAGTGATATCATACTTACTGGTATTTAAGATCTTCAATAAGTTCAACCCTTTGCAAGACTAGCAGAACCCAAGGAAAAGACCTCTTGAGTACCAAATGTAACTGTAAGAATGTCCCTATACAAGCATTATGTTCACACTCAGGCATTCACCCAGGGCTTAGGTACTCTTTTAATAAATACATATTATTAACAAACTTGTTACCTGCTTACCCAGCAGATTAGAAGCAGCAAAACATAAAAGAAATACAGATAAACAACTGTTAGGAGCAGATACCACTTCAGCCATATGAAGAGCCAGGTGACAGCCCGACAGTGAAGGAGACCAGAAACCAAACAGGAGATAACTATGTTTTACATTATGGTATAGACAATAATGAATCTATTTAATGATGACCTTGAGTAGTCAACACTGATTAAACTATTTTTTGTATCCTGTTCAAGAAGGGAAATATCAAATACATCTTATAATTTTTTATTAAAAAGTTAAAAAACTTGGTAGAATAGTTCTATTATCTGGAACATTCACTTACATGCATTAACTCATTTCCCAAAGACAATGGACAGATGAAACATTAGTAGAGATTTGTACAGACTGCTAGCATACTATCACTGTTCTGTTGATCATCAATACTGAATCCAGAGACAAGTTTCCAGAGACCAGTCTGAACATTAATGAGCTATTATGGGTCTGAAACACCTATGAGTATAATCTTTTTTTTTTTATATTTTGTATTTCCATAGATTATTGGGGAAAATGTGGTGTTTGGTTACATGAGTTTATAGCAGCACAATTCGCAACTGAGTATAATCTTTTTGAAGCTTTAATTTGAGGTACTGTAATTGTGATCTAACCACTCCATAATGGCCCTTTTAAGTTTCTAAGTGTGCTTGTTCTAGGCAGATAAGTACTAGCAAGAGTGACCATACACATCTTGGTTTCCCTAAGATAGTCCCAGTTTATGTTTTTGCCTCCAAGTAAAGTAACAGCACTTTCTTTCATGTTCTCCTTTAGTTGATAAATTATATAAGCACCCTAGTAATAATAAGCCTTTTGCCCACAAGTTTCTATCTACGTGGACTAGAGTTAATTTTAAAATCTAATTTAAAAGTATGAATTAAGGGTATGTTGTTAAGTTAAAAAAAAAAAAAAAAGGCACAGAACAGTGAAAGGGGAAAAATAAGAATATATATTCATATTTTCCGGAAAGTAACATGAAAAATCTAATAAAAGTCATTATCTACAGGACCTAGGGGGCCACAGGGGAGACAGGCGTAGGAGAGGAAGCAAGGTTCCTTTTAGTTTAAGATGTGGTCTCACTATGTTGTGTAGGCTGGCCTCCAACTCCTGTGCTCTATTGATCCTCCTGCCTCAGCCTCCAGAGTAGCTAGGACTAAAGGATTCTACCCTGGCTCTTTTTTTTTTTTAAAGATGGTAGTCTAATATGCTGCCCAGGCTGGAGTGCAGTGGCTAGTCACAAGTGCGATCAGAATGTACCACAGCCTCAAGTTCCTGGGCTCAAATGGTCTTCCTGCCCCAGCCTCCAGAATGCTGGCACTATAGGTGCGTGCCACCATGCCTGGCTTGAAATTAATATATATATCTTTTATAGATGAACGAATGTATATAAGTTAATATATTAATTAAAATTTTTTTTAAAAGTTTGAAGATAAAATTTGTATCTTCTCTTGCCTCAGATCTAATTGGCTTTATAGAATCTACTAATGAAAATGATATAAACCTAGCATTAGGGTAACAAGTTCAAGCACCAGCAGAGAGAAAGGAGCAAAATATTACCCAGAAATGTTCTTCCAATCCTTCCTTGCAATGTCTTGCACCATAGAACTACCAGTAAAATTACATGAGTGCATTATATAGTTATTTGTTTGTTATCTGTCTTCCCAACTAGGATATAAGCCCATGGGGGAAGGGGCTTTGTTCTGTTCACACTGCAGTATCCCCCATACCTAGATCTGCTTGGTACATAGTAGGTGCTCAATAAATACTTGCTGAATGACAGAACGAATGCATAAAACCCATTTCTGTTACTAGGTTACTGACCATACAGAGTACAATAAAAATCAAGGCCCACGAACACTTCAAACACAATAGAGAACAGTTTTATTCTACACATAGCAAAAAATCCCCTCTATTTGTATTTCATATTAAAGAGGAGGGGGTAGACACATATCCACACATACACACACAAACACAAATGCGCAGATAACAGGACAGAGCAGTAAAGTGGAAAAAGTAGTGGCTTCTGTTCCTTACTCTGCCACTTTCTAGTCATGTGAATTTGGTCAAGTCACCTGAATTCTTGGGCCTTAATTTCCAAACCTATAGACTGAGGGAATTAGATGACTGATGTGTTCCATTCCAGCTCTGCCATTATCTTTCTCTCTCTCATATACACAGACATGGGGAGGAAGACACATAAACAAATAGAAGAGAGAATTACACAGAGGAAGGGGAAAAAAGGAAGGTAGAGCGGTTAGAGGGAAATGAAGGTGCCAACATATACAAACTCAGGGAAGAAACACACATACCACCTCTCCACAACCAAGTGGAGACGAAGAGGGAGGTGATGACAATCACAGACCAGCATGTACACACAGGCAGAGAGACCCAAATAAAAGAGAGGAGACAAGACTTCGGTTCCACACCTTTTAAGGTGATTATTAATAAATTGGCTTTCACATTCCACTGTTCACTTAGGCTATATGATGACAATAAATTAACACAGGTCTCTGTAAACCCAAGATTATCTAAATGGCCACTAACAGCTCTTCATATACTCTAACCCCGTGGTTCCCAGTCAGGGTTCACATTAGAATCATTTGGGGGAGGTTTTTCAAACTATCCATGCTCAGATCCTACTAATAAGAGATTCTGAGCTATACCTGGGATGAGATCTGGGCAAGTATATTTTGGAAAAAACCGTGTACATGATGTTGGTTTGTACCCCAATGAAGACTACTTTCTAACCCCTAAATTTTCAGGGGCTCTGCTCTGAATGAATAGCTACTTACTGTGGGATAAAGTTGTTTTTTTTGAACTACAATCCTGATAGCCAGAGAATCATCACCCTAAGGGATAGAGAAGCTACAGGGAGATCTGAGTCTTCCCTTTCTAACAAGCTAAGAAACAAACCAAGTCAGAAGGCAGTAATAATTAGGCTCAATAATCAATTCCTGAATAGATCAAGATTTCACTTGGATGCCAGAAGTCAGTGTTACACATACCTGTCTGGATCCCTGGGGGACAACTGCCCCCATGTTAATTGGACTGGGACCCTGCATTCCACTAGGTATAGGTCCTCTAGGGCCAGGCACTGGGCCCCTGGTATCCATGCCTCTGGCCTCCATCCCTCGGACTTCCATCGCACGGGCCTCCATCGCTCGGGCCTCCATCGCACGAGCTTCCATTGCACGGGCCTCCATTGCACGGGCCTCCAGTCCTCTGGCATCTAACCCTCTTGCTTCCATGGCTCGGGCCTCCATCCCTCGTGCATCTATTCCTCGGGGATCCCTTCCACCTATAAAGAAAATTGTAAGAAAACCATTATGTAGCCACTTGCATGTACTGCAAGAATGATGAACAATCCAAGAAAGATAGAAATCTCTTATAGTCACATTTGCTCCCTCAGCTATTAACATATGAGACTAATGTCTCCTCCCCAGTTTCTCAGATTTGTGGATAAACCTTAAAGTTGCTTGCAAACCTACTGTTTCCGGCATTCTTTATCCCAGATTAGAGCCAAAGACGGCTGAGTTCATTATCACATTTGCAATGTGGTCTCCCCTTACCTCTGCCATCCAACGGTGGACCCCTCTGATCTAGCATGGGTCCTCTTGGTTCTGCCATTAGAGGTCTGGGTTCGGGTAATGGCCCTCCCCTCAGCTCATGTGGGGGTGGTCCTCGGCTCTCATGGCCAGGTACATGGTGCATGGGTGGACCTTGATGAGGTGGTCCCAAGTAACCTCTGGAGATGGAGAAAAACATTATATTTTAAAATAGAACAAAACAACAAAATACCAACCAGAAGATCAGTAAGTAAACATCCAACAAACAGCTGACGTAAACAGTCTATGAATACTAACAAGAAAATAACACCAAATAGATGGAAGAAAAGCTACAAAGATATACATCCATGTATTCTAGAATTTCGTATTTGGTTCATAATTAGGGAGGAATCAAGAATATTCATTATATGTATGAGTTTGCAGTACAATGTATAAGAACATGAGCTCTAGATTCAGACTGTATGGGTTCAAATCTAGGCTCTATCACTTATTAGCTGTGTGATATTGGACACATTTACTTAACTTTTCCACACATCAGTTTCACGTGTAAAATGGGACTAATAATGGTATCCATCTCACAGGGTCCTGTGGATTTAATAAGATGATCTAAGTAAAGTACTTAGAACAGAGTCAGAGGCATGATCCCCATTAATGTCAATTATTATTATTGCTATTATTATTTTATTTATTTATTTACTTTTGAAATGGAGTTTCACTCTTGTTGCCCAGGCTGGAGTGCAGCGGTATGATCTTGGCTCACTGCAACCTCCACCTCCTGGGTTCAAGTGATTCTCCTGCCTCAGCCTCCTGAGTAGCTGGAATTATAGGCGCCCACCACCATGCCCGGCTAATTTTTCTATTTTTAGGAGAGACGGGATTTTGCCACGTTGGTCAGGCAGGTCTCAAACTCCTGACCTCAAGTGATCCACCCGCCTTGGCCTCCCAAAGTAGTGGGATTACAGGCGTGAGCCACTGCGCCCGGCGTATTATTGCTAGTATTAATATTTCCACTACTATAAATTTCCCTGTTCAAGTATGTATACTAAAATTTCTAATTTCTGAAAATACAGTAGCTCAAAATGACACACTCAACTACATAGTTCTGCCTTAGGAGAAGTGCTTATCCTTGGACAGTGGCCATGAATATTTATCTATATCTTTTGAAGTAGGCCAACAGGTACAACTGGTACAGAAAGATTTTTGTTCTCAGGGAAGAAGGGACAATTCTGATTTCTTCAACTGTTTCCTTCTATGTTAGTGCTTACCTAGGTTCTACCTCTCCAGTTACAGAAAGTAAAGTGCCTCCCCGTGGATCATTTGGAGCATCTCCTAACAAGCCTCGAGGGGTTGGGACGTTGGCAGGCAAGGATCCCCGCTGCATAGCTGCTCTGGGGTCTTGCATCGGCACTGACAGGGAAACAAACGGGGAGTTACTGCTGTGAAAGACACATAAGCAAACAAGAAATGACTCTATATACCACTGACAACATAATTTAGACACCTTAGAGTGGGTGAAACCTCACCACAGCAGAATCCTCTTGCAGCTCAAGAACAGAAGCAGGGTGTAGGCAGAATCTGTGCCATGTCAGAGGTATGGATGGAATTATATAAAGAGCAAACTGGGGAGCAACCTGCCAAGGACTAGCACTGCAACCTGAAGAAACTTATGCTCCTGGTTTTCCTTCTAATCAATCTTAGTTCAAGGACCAGAGTCACAAAAGAGAGGTAGAGTCTTGGCATATGTGAACACTGCCATGGCTCTGCAAGAACCCGCTGTCTCCTTACAGACTGCTATTCCATCCAAGCCTCCTGACACCAGTAGGGAGGGAGTACAGCCTCGGACAGATGCCCATATCATCCATGTTCTCTGCCCTGTGTGAAGAGGTCAATCTTAGGCTTGTGGCCTCAACAGGAAAAAATTAAAAAAACAAAAACCCAAAAACACTACCCTTTTGGGTTCTGAACGCGAGGATGACTGCCAAGCAGCTCTTTTCCTCTCAACGTCCCACCCTGAACACCACAAGCAAAAGGAAACCCACAGATACAATGGGTACCTTGAACTCGCTCAATTGATGCAGGCCCGGCAGGTCCCACGGGCGAGTGCTGTAGGGTTCCTAGGTAAGCAGTAAGTTCAAAAGGAGAAAGAGCAGACACTTAAAATAGCTTGCACACACATGCAGAAACACACACACGGAGATTGAGATTTACATATATATGTTAAAAAGCCAACAGTTCATTGGCTTGCTTCAGGCTACAAATCTCCCTAAACTACACTAGCTCCTTTGGGTCTCTGAAACAGTTCCATTTTGAGCAGATAGCTTTTGAAAGGGAATCCCATGGGGCACTGGTTTGATCTAGGCGGGAATAACCAGACATTTTCGATTTTCACCTCTGCTACTAGTTTTCCCTTAGGTCTCCTTATGAAATCATTAGGAAAAAAACATATAAAAAGGATAGTTTTGGATCTTCTAGTTACGCAAAGAACATAAATGTAGTTTCAGAAGCAAAACATAAAAGAAACTGCACTGAATCTGGAAGGCAAGATTCATTCTGAAGCGGTCATAACTGAAGTATGGCAATTCTATTTATGTCACACATTAAAGCACAAAAATTTCTGCTGTCAAAAACGTATCAGATGGGGAAATGCAGTGAATGAACTTTACGTGATGAAAGAGAATATCACTCCACAAGAAATACTCTGCCACAGCAAGTCTTTGATAATAAACATCATGACAACAGCAAACAAAGACTAATGAGATGACATGGGCACCAACACTAAACAAACATGGCAGGGAAGCAAGAAGTATCTTCTCAAACATCTCCATCTCCTGTCAGCATTATAAATGTACAAAAGCAGCATGGATTTCAAGAAAAGTAACACAAACTAGGCACACACGAAAAGAAGACCCTTGCTTCCTCTGCTGGGTACTGAAGGAAACTATAAAAGAAAGCTGATCTCACTTTGTCTCTTCATGAAGACATCCTGGAAATACCCTCAAAACATGAGTCATTTCCCTTTGTCAATTTCTGACAAAAAGGTGAACATAACTATAACAAGAAGATGTCTTGTGCAAGTATGCATTAAACAGCTAAAACCTGATGGATTCAGTGCTGGCCCCATGACAGGTAGAAGTATGACTGAAACCCTAATACCTTCTCATTACTGCAAAAATACTCTGGGGAACATATATAATCTATTGACAGTGGTGGGGTGGGGATAGGGCGGCGTACAATAGCACAAAAACATGGGATGCTTAGAGAAAATATGAGATATTTGGCCAGGGAGTTTGTCCTGCTGTCAGACATCTAACAAGAAAAAGTTAATTCTGTCACTTCAGCAATCAACCCCAGTGTAAAAACCACAGGCTTGTATATTGTTTATGTATGTACGTGTGTGTATATATACACATATATATGTGTGTATGTGTATATATATATTTCTCTGTTGCCCAGGCTGAAGTGCAGTGGTGCGATTATGGCTCACTGCAGCCTCAATCTGTTGGGCTCAAGTGATCCTTCCACTTCGGCCTCCCAAGTAGCTGAGACCACAAGTGCACACCACCACTGCCCATCTAGTTTTTGTATTTTTTATAGAGACAGGGTTTTGCCATGTTGCCTAGGTTGGTTTCAAACCTCTGAGCTCAAGCGATCCACCCACCTCAGTCTCCCAAAGTGCTGGGATTACAGGCATGAGCCACTGCACCTAGCCATTATTTTGCTTTTTAAATGGGTTCCACTTATAAGCCACATGCTACAGAAGAAAAAAACCTTAAGCTTCTCTATGCTTCTCCAAAACAGTCATTCCCATCATCTTATTCCCAAGGAATAAGAGTAGAAGACACTGAGGAATGTAAGTGGAAGTTAACAGGCAGTGTGGAGTGACAGAAAGAGGACAGATTTTGGAGTCAAAGACTTCTGAATCTTAGCTCTGCCACTTACTAGCTGGAAAAGAGAATAAGAGCACCAAATCCAGTCCAGATTACTCATACATTAATATTTACTTACATTGTCCCCTTGAGTAAGTAACTTATTCTGAGCTTCCAACTCTTTGCCTGTAAAACTGAGGTGCTGCCACCTAACACACAAGATTATTTATGAAAATTAAAGTACCTGGCATATAGTATGCACTCAGTTCCTTCTCTTTTCTTACCATCTCTCCTCCTAACATTGTTTCCAACTGAACCACTGCACTTTCTTGTCCTTCAAACTCCAGTAACATGAAGACATAATGTGGAGATTTTGGAACGGCAGCTACTGTTGTATACGGCAGTACAGCCACGGCACAACAGACGTTCATTAAGTAGGCTCTACAGACCTATGATCCCCTTCCAGTTTTCTCTGGGGTTTAAATCTAGTCTTCTACATACCCAGCCACATATTTACATGCTCATTATTAAAATTCCTTACTCAGTCAACAGATACCCATACAGGGAGAGAGAACATGTCAGTGGAATTATTAGACTAGGAATCAGGAAACAAAGGATCCACTTGCTTCATTATCAATTCTTGTAGAGCTGGGCTCTGAATCACCAGGTGGAAAGTCTAGATCAGCACTGTCCAATAGATCTTTTTACGATGACAGAAATGGTCTATATCTGCAATGTCCTGTGTGGTATCCACTAGCTACCTAGGGTCACTGAGCACTTGGAATGTGGCTATTGTGACTAAGGAACTGAGTTTTAAATTTTACTTAATTTTAATTAACTTAATATTGAAATAGCCATGGGTGGTTAGTGGCTGCCATATTAGATACTGTGGATGTGGAACACTTCCAAGACCAATTCACATTAGTTAGACATAAACATTTATTTACCTTGTCCCCGTTCCATAGACACTGGTCCACTTCCTGGCATTCCAACCTGAGCCTGCATTCCTCCTAGAAGACAAAGGGCAGACAAGAAAAAACACCAATTAGAACAGCAGAAAAGAAAAATTAGAACAGGGGCTGAGTTTACAAATTTCCTCATTCTGCTCCACAAGCAGAAACCTACAAAGGAAGATATTCAACAATGCAATGAGATAGAAGATGGGGTTTGTTAGTATATTTACAATTTGTACTTTATGTTTCAGTGACAGAATAGTGAGTTCAATAAGAAAAATTCATCTCATTGGTTACCAAACTCTTAGCAGGAAGCTCTTCTATAATACAGGAAAACAGTATCACTTACTCATGGATCTCCTCTCATGAAAGATAATCTAAATGTAAGTATAACTCTATTAGGATAAAGCAGATACATAACAATCCTGAAGTAGATACAAAAAATTGCTGAGTTTGCAGAAATTTCTTTAAAAAATCTCTTCTTCCATTCCTCATCAACTTAGCTCTGCAGACTGGATTCTCTACAGAACAGGACAATTTAGAATTAAATGATTCTCCATGACTAGTGTTGTACTCAACGTACCCTAGATTAGATAAATTAGCAAGAAGCAAGTTTGTTACATAAAAAAACTTCAAATATTGGTAATACATCATGTGTTCATACAGATGTTTCATATGGGGAATCATTATTTCACTCAATCTTCTTAGTTACAATTGTTGAACAAGGAACAGTTACAAGTATATGAGCAATACTATTATTAATTGCCTATCTATACACTTTCAATAAACGTATATAACTTTTAAGTTTCTCTTTTTCCATTTTGTTGTTTGGTCTGATTATGTTTGTTAAAATACAATTTTACGTCAGTTTAATATGATATAACAAATGTGACCTTGTGTTTTTTTGTCTGTTTTCTTCATGAGCTTTTGAACCCAATAGTTCATTCATATTTAGCACAGTAACAACTACATTAGTTTTTATTCCTTCCATCTTACTCTACATTTACTACTACTTATTTTACACTGCCTCTTCCTTTTTTTCTTTTCTCTATTTTTGCTGGCTTGATTTCATTTTCACTCATTCCATTTTCCCCCTCGTTATTCCATTTTCCCCCTCGTTAACTTGGAAGTTTTACTATGCTCTTTCACTTTACTGTCCCTTTCCATGTTCTTATAATTAGACATCTAGGATTCAACATAAGAAATCTACTATTTCCTCCACCGAAGTTATATACTTTCTAGCTGTGGATTAATTTTACCTAAGGATCCCATTATCATATTTGGCTGCACTGCAACAGTGCCTATGACAAAACTTTAGCGAGTACTGAAATGGCGAAGACTAAATGAAATTTACCTCCAGGAGCTAAGGAACCAGGGCCAGGTCCTGTGACAGCAGTTGGTATTTGCCCTGGTGCTGGAACTCCACCCTGCATAGAAGCTTGCATCAGAGGAGGTGCGCCATTGACATGCATTCCACCCTGACCAAGAAAAAAAAAACAGAGTATGTACATGCCTCTGTGGAGACTCAATACTGAGTCTATGACCTTAAAAGTCCTCTTCAAATGAACAGCCCCAAATATACTACCAAACACCCTTTTTGTATGGCATGTCTTATGCAGCATTAGATTTGTCACACACTTTAAACTCCACAGAAGCAAGTTGCAATACACATCATGAGCCTGGTTATATGGAACACGGTTAAGATGGAACATATTCTCAATGTAGAGATTGACAAGTCTTATCTGTGTGGCAAGGCAGCACGTAGCACCTGTTGTTAACTTCATGACTGGGGCCTGGCAATAAGAGTTTTAAAAAAAAAAAAAAAAAAAAAAGCCCTAAACCCAAGAAAGATAAAAGGAGACTGGGCCTCTTTTTAAAAAAACACAACTGCTAGTAGTCCACATTTTTAAAATTAAACGTTCTTTTTTTTTTTTTTTTTAAATTTAAATTTAACCAATCTTTTCTCACTCCTGTCCTTAGACATAATTCTGGTTCTGGGGGAATGTGAATTTTTTTTTTTTTTAATGCTACATTAAAACTCTTTGAGAAAAAGAGAATGTCAACTTTTCATCTGTGCATTCCCCAAAAAACTGAGTAGTCCCTTGAAAAAGAAACAGCTCAATAAATAAAGAATAAAAGCCAAGTTATATAAAAAAAAATTACATACACGTTTAAGGAACACAAAACTCTACAACAGAAAAGGAAGAGCTGTATAGGAAGGTAGTTAAGAGAAAACTGGGTATGAGGTCAGATAAAACCAGGTTCAGAACTATATCTGCCACTTATAATTGTGTCCATTTTTGCACTAGCTAACCTCTCTTTTCTATCTCTGAAAACGTATTTATTTATTTAGAGCAGGAGCTGGCAAACGATGACCCATGGGTCAAATCGGGCTCACTGCCTGGTTTTATAAACAAACTCTTATTGGAACACAACCACACACACTTGTTCACATATTGCCTATGGCTGATTTCATACTACCATGGCAGAGCAGCTGTGGCAGATCCTGTGGCTTGCAAAGCCAAAAATATTTACTATCTGATCATTTACAGAAAAATGTTTGCTGGCTCCTGCCCTATACCTCTGCCAATCTGAGAGATGAAAAATGGTAGCTTATTGTAGTTTCTATTTACATTATCTTTTAACATTACATGTATTAATAATTTATTACATTATCTTATTTTGAGGTTGAATACATTTTTATATATTTACTTTATATTTCTACTTTTGTGAAATATTTATGTCCATTTCCCATTTTTCTACTGGGTTATTGGAAATTTTCTTACTAATTTATAGGAGGCCTTTTAAAATGTATTATGAAAAATTACAGATATACAAATCATATAGGAAATAAAATAGCCACACAGCTTGGGAAAAAAACAATAAAATACACCAATGGCCTGTATGGTCTTCCCCAATTGCATCCTGTGCTCTCTTCTCCTTAGATGACCGCTAAGACATCTTCCTAATGTTTTAAAATTTTATAGGAATCATTACATACTCAATATATTATTTTGAAACTCACTCCACATATTTTGGGGATTTATGCAGAAACATATATCCTACATTTCGGGAATGCATCCACATTCACTTAGTTTCATGTCCGTATGTTATTGTTTTGGAGTTATTTGTGTTGATATTATGTATCCTAGTTCATCTTAACTGCTGTATGGAATTATGTTTTTCAGAGTCATTCATGTTGATACGCGTAGTTCATTTAACTGTTGTACAGTATTTCACTGGATGAATGTACCACACATTTTCTCCATTCTTCCATTGATGTACATTTAGGACATTTCCAATTTTTCACTCTAAGGCAATAAACATTTCTGTGCATGACTATGGGCTCTTTATTAGCCTGTTGTCCATCACATGTGTGGCAAATACTTTTTCTCAATTTGTCATGTCTTTGATACTTATTTTTTTCTTTATATAGAAATTTTTTAGTTTTCAAATGTATCAATTTTTTATGGCTTTAGGGTTTTGTGTCATGCTTTGAAAGCAAGCTTTACTTTTTTCATTGGTAAGAATGGAGATAATAAGAGTGCCAACCTCATACAATTGCTTTGAGGATTAAATGAGATAATGCATATGGAATAACGAAGTGCCAACCACAGTGCCAGGCATGCACATACACACAAAGTTAGCTTATAAGAAAAGGGCATACAGGAAGGATCTCTTTGTTTTACAAACTTGGAATCGAATCTATATTCATTCAGATGTCATGTGCTCTGCAACCTGGAAATTGCTTTTATGCCTGGAAATTGAAATTATCATCTCTGGTTCCTGACCATTCTTCTTTCAATATATTCTCCTAAAAAGAAAATGACATTCTAAGACAGATACAAAAAAATGTTAAGGGATAAAGCCCTACCAAAGACTGGGCCTGAGGGGCCTGAGGATTCTGCTGGTTCATTGACACATTGGATCCTGACCCAGGCCCAGCACCATGGACTGGCTGAGGGTTGCCTGCAATCAGCGTTGGGATATTTGTCTGGCGATGCAGAATTTTCTAAAAAGTGAAAAGACAAACCTATAAGCTGTCTGTTTAACAAAGCAATCAGGTAGTTCCTATCCCACTCAAGGTTTACCCGACCATTTCCATAAAAGAACCAGAAGCACTCACCAGGGCAATTTCCGGATCCACAATTCTCATCACTACCTGTGCTTGCAGCAAAGCATAAGCCAGTTGAGGGTTCTGAAGCAACATGTTCCGTGCCTCCTGGGGACTATTCTGGACACAGAGCTGAGAAGATAAGCAGATTCAGGTTTAATACTTATGACTTAGAAACTGATAGTGATTTAGAGTCATTCCCGTCTGAGAAATGTAATATTCAAGAGGCTCTTTATCATTAGTTTTTGCATGGCACAAAAAAACCTTGGTCATGGCAGGCAAGAGAAGAAAGAGGCATTTCAAATACTGTGATACTATCATTTAGGAAAAAAGTCAAATTTTAATATCTACATCTGACATCTATGGGCCACAAAAATCCAGCTGGATTGTTTGGATAGCTGTGTTTGTGTACAAAAATAGAAAGCTCTTTGTACAAAATGTAAAATATACTGTGTACATACAGAATATTGAAGGTGCAAGAAATGGTGGTCTACAGACAATTTCTATTTGAGCTCAGGGAACTGATTCAATTAACTCCTTGAAAACCTGATGTGGTTTGCTTTATTCATAACCTAATGCCTCCTCCCACCTTCATTTGTTTCATCAGCTCAAACATCTGCTCTGGTGGAAGGCTGGCAACTGCTTTGCTAATGGACTCAGGGGCATCCTCAGGACTGATGGTCTCTCCATAAGGTGACTCAATGACAGGGGCACCAGTGCCAAGGCCTAATCAAGAAGAAAGTACAAGAAAGTTAGGGAGGCAAAACAAAAAGCTAAATCATTTCAAATATCTATTTTTCAGGGCTGCTGTAAGAACCAGCTGATAATTTTAGATTCTCCAGAGCTGAGAAATAAATGATTTGAAAGCCTCTTGTTTCTGTGGAGGAAAGTGAGAGTGTATTTTCTGTTCTCAGAGGAAAGCTGGGGATAATGATCACATGGAAGGACAATGTTAACCTAAGTTAGAGAACTGGGAACACTGACGTCTTTTGACAAGTCATTTCAGAAACAAAATGTTAAAAGAGAAAAACATGCTAATTTCAAAAACTCCTGAAAATAATGACAGGAATGACTAATGCCATAGTTAGTACTACTAATGGCTTGATGAATTTGAATTCATCTTTAACTGGAAATAACTCCTTAACAATGGAAAAATTTCGTTTTTTTTTTTTTTTTTGGGAGACAGTCTCACTCTGTTGCCCAGGCTGGAGCAACTGAAGCATTTCTAATGTCAACTTTACCTGTTTCTTAAAGATACACACTTACTAGCAAGCCTCCAGCATGCTTAGGTCTGCAGTGATCCTATGCATTCCTACAGTGCTTGCCAGAACAGTTTTGAAATGGTTTGAGGCCTTGCCCTGCTCCATCCAGAGCAAGGGTATAGAAATTTCAGACAATTACTTGAAAAAAAATTTATAAAAAATTTTTTAAAAGATATATATAATACTTGCCTAACTCAGGCACATCAGATCAGTCAAGTAATAAACAAGCTGTGTGGCTAACCATTTCAGCATATTCTAAAACATAGCAGAAATGGAAAATCTTCATTGTTACATCTTTACTAACTCATACTGCATCCAAGTTGGATTTGTACTCACTCTTCAGCTCTTCTTTGTTCTTTTCACTGGCAGCATTGTCCACTCGAAGTGCTCTCCCACTGAATTCACGTCCATTCAGGTTCCGCATGGCACTAAGTGCTGTCTCTTGGTCTTGGTATTCACAGAAGCCATAACCCTTTGGCTTTCCTGTCTCTCTATCATATACCAATCTGGAGAGCAGAACCAAGTGTCAGGAACAAATGTTACACACATACAGGGTTCCTGCTAACATTGCCATGCTTTAATTGGGCCCACTGTAACATAAATAACTTTACAGCTCTGACAGCCTCACAGAAATATTTTTTAAAACTTTTTCTTTTTTTTTTTCCTGAGATGGAGTCTCGCTCTGTTGCCCAGGCTGGAGTGCAGAGGCACGATCTTGGCTCACTGCTATCTCCGCCTCTCGGGTTGAAGCAATTCTTCTGTCTCAGCCTCCTGAGTAGCTAGGACACAGGCATGCAACACCACAGCAGCTAATTTTTGTATTTTTAGTAGAGACGGGGTTTCACCATATTGGTCAGGCTGGTCTCGAACTCCTGACCCCAGGTGATCCGCCTGCCTCGGCCTCCCAAAGTGCTGGGATTACAGGCAAGAGCCACTATGCCCTGCCTAAAAAACATTTTTAATGAAAAAAACATATTTTAGGTAAGAATAAATGTCAATTGTATAGTATATCAATTATATCTAAATACAGCTGTTACAAGAATAAAGTGTATGTGAAAAGTCACCAGTAAAGAAAACCTGCCATTACTAAGAGCCAAATCTGTGGTAATTTTTAAGAAGCTCCCACCATGAAGTAAAAGGGGATCTCACCTGAAACTAACAACAGGTCCAACCTCAGAAAAGATGTCCTTCAACTGCTCTTCAGTAGCTTCATAAGGAATGTTCCCCACTAAGGAAGAAAATAGGTAACATTAAAATTCCGAGTTTATAACATAGATCTTTAGTGAGAAAGTAAATGACAGTGTATCTACTTATATCATCAAATATAAGGCTCAAAATAGTGTTCTCCAATCCCAATTCCACTGTATTTCTCTAGACCTCTTAACAAAGGAAATGTACCACTGAAACTAAATACAAAATGTGTAGGTACTCTTAAATGTTAATTCTCAGACTGATCTGACAAGTGTTAGATTTTCCTTAACTTTGGTGAAAATAAATACTTCGGCACTGGTATTTACCTAAAGATCTGCAAGTCTCATCAGTGACTACAAAAAATATCAATGTTATGTAATATAATTTTTAAAACAGGTTCATATGTATTTCCACACATACAACATTTAAGGGAGAATGACCATGAATGTAGTGAAGGATGTTTAAAAATTATTCTGAACTACTTTGTCATGTCCCTTTCAAATGGCACTCTAAAATAATCACACGTATTTTTAAAAACAACTTATTTCAGCCAAAAAGATAATTCAGAATCGTTTCGATCCTTTTTAAAATTCCTCTGAGGAGGTCTTAACAGTTCATTCATTCATTCACTTACAAGCCATCTCAGGACACCAGGTGGCCTCTACTACTATTGATGGACTAAAATGTTACGGATAAAAAGCAAAGGATGAAAGTCCTTACGAGAGAACAGGAAGTGGACACTAGGATCTATACCCTCAGCATATAGTCTGTATTCTGGGGCAGAGGATGAGAAGTAGTACGGGACAGTGAGGAGCTGTTGCCACGCGCCCTCTCCTCTAGAGAATAATTAAAGCTCTTGAAAGGAGAAACGCACAGAAGCTGAACGCTAGTCTAACTTCCCCAGTGATATTGCGGAAAGCCTACGAGACCTCGGCAGAATGGGAACATCTCTTTGCTCACGAGTCCACCAGGTTGGACGCCCTACAGGATTGGCAGGGAGAACTGCATGTCCGAACCGTCAGCGGCTCCGGTAGCGATTCATGAGATAGGAGGTGCAGAGGGGAGTCCCTCCCTGAAGCTTGCCTCCAACGAATTCCTCTCACCGAACACAGAACGTAGAGAACGATCCACCGCTGGGTCTCTCACAGTCAAACCCGCCATAGCTCTATTGAGTCGGCTTCCGGTGCGCCAAAGCACACTTCCGTACGGAGCACAAGCCCAGCGCTGAGCACGCTTCCGTACGGCGCATGAGCCGGAAGTGCCTGGGTGGAACGGACGCAGAGCCCCTCCCCTGGCGACCTTCTGTTAGCCGCAGGCGCGAGTTGCGTCCACCGGAGGACTCAACCCCCACCCCTGAGATTAACTCTGTTCCGAGCCAGATGCAGGCGAGTCCAGGCTAATTTGAAGGGTTTCAGCCTGCAGACTTCCTTCTTATTAATTTTCTCTTAGGTTTGTACTCGTTAACCACAATAAAGATGGCGCAGCGGCTTTACCATGGTAACAGGGAAGTCTTTTGCTGACAACTGTGGCGCTTGCATTTTAGTTCCGCCCTATCAAGGGAGGGAAATGCTTGGGCGCGTCCCAGCAGAGTGCATATTAATTTGCTAAAGCTGTGCGTGTTGGAGTGAGATGAGGAAAGGGTATGCTAGCCGAGAGAAACATAGTTGAAGAAATGGGAGAGGTAAAGGGAAAACAGACCTCTTTCTGTCCTGGTGTAGTCCGTGGGTTCCATGTGGTTCGTGGTGGGGCGGTGCGGCTGGGGATTCTGGCAGGCAGGAAACAGAAAACGTCATTCATTGGTTTTTCCACACTTTGGTGCCCACGCTCCTGGGATGTGGCATGCAGGGCAGGTCGTTGTATCAGCCCGAAAAGGCAGACCCTGCCAGGGTTGGAGGAAATCCAGAGGGCACCTCAGGAGGACAGGGTTAGGGGAGAAGCAAAAGAAGGAGCCAAGAGCGCTATCTTTGAGGGACTTCTCTGAAAAGGGAAGACAGTAAAATAGCCACGGAATTGGAGGCACGGACGTTTTTATTAATTCCACATGTATTAAAAGTATACGGACCGGGTGCGGTGGCTCACGCCTGTAATCCCAGCCTTTTGGGAGGCCAAGGCGGGCAGATCACCTGAGGTCGGGGGTTCGAGACCAGCCTGACCAACATGGAGAAACCCTTTTCTACTAAAAATACAAAATTAGCCGGGCGTGGTGGCACACGCCTGTAATCCCAGCTGCTCAGGAGGCTGAGGCCAGAGAATCGCTTGAACCCGGGAGGTGGAGGTTGTGGTGATCCGAGATCCGCCATTGCACTCCAACCTGGGCAACAAGAGTGAAACTCTGTCTCCAAAATAAAAGTATATGAAATATGATAAATATTTAGAAAAAATTAATAAGTGCTAGTTTACACCGTGGAACATATCACTTAAATAATTTCTGGTAAAGATGGAATGTTTGAGAAGAGTATTCTCATTTTCCATGACTCTGGAGTCCCATTTGCAATCATTGTGTGACCAAGAGGACACCTTGTGTAATGGAATAGTCCAAAACGATATTTACAGCTCTGTAGAAGGCACAGTTTTCAAAGAGTTTTGGTGTGTGTCATTGTTCCATTGTGGTGAACTTTTTGCTAAATGCATGTAAGGCTGAGTATATTTCTAACTCAGTGTTTGGCAGACTTACATAAACAAAAGATTCACCTGGGGTCTTTAAGTAGGAGTATAGATTCCTGGGCCTCCACCCCAGCCCTATGGAATGGGACTCTAGGGAAAGAGCTTGGGAATCGTTATATTTAAACAAGTGCCACTGGTGATTCTTAGGGTCAGGTAATTTGAGTAGTGTTGTAGTTATTGAGGTAGCTTTATGACAGCATTTAAAACACACATGCTTTCTTATGAAATTTCCCTTAAAGTAGTTCTCAAAGTTCTCAACCCTTGTGGAGGAGCATGTTTGGAAATGTACAGGGGCATTTTCAGTTGTTGCAATGACTACTACTAGGGGAAGAGAAGCCAGAGATGATAAATGGACTGCCATGTCCAAGGCAGTTCTACACGATGAACCCTTTCCCTCATTGAATGCCAGTAATGTCTCTCCCCTTGAGAAACACTTAATATCAGCCATATTAGACCAAATGGACCCTGGATCTGAAGGCACTGCCAGCCTTGCATAAATAATTTGTGCTTTAGTCTTCCTGTAACTGTGTAGCTGATCCCAATGAGTTAGTAATAGTGAAAGCTAACATTTATTAAGCACTTGCTCTGTCCTCATGGTATTGGTTTTCCATTGCTGTGTAACAAATTTCCACAAACTTAGTGGCTTACAGCAACACTCATTTATTAGCTCACAGTTCTGTAGGTCAGAAGTTTGGGTGGACACGAGTGGATTCTTTGCTTAGGATCTCACAAGGCTGAAATCAAGGTGTTGGACTCTTATCCGGAATCTTTGGGGGAAGAATCAACTTCCAAGCTCATTTTTCTTGTTGGCAGAATTTGGTTGGTTGTGGTTGTAGGACCGAGGTCCTTTTTTCTTTGCTGGCTGTTGACTGGAGGGCTGTAGCTCTTAGCTCCTGGGGGCTTCTTTTTGGTCCTTACATGTGGGTTTCTACATCTCAGAGCCAGTGATGGCACATTGAAACCTTATGCTGTGAATCTCTGACCAGAGATTCTTTTGACCGGCTGGGGAGAACTCTGCTTTAAAATGGCTCCTGTGTTTAGGCAAGGCCTAACCAAATAATCTCCCTGTATTAAAGTCAGCTGTGCTATGTAAAAACCTAATCATGAGAGTAAAATCCATTATAATCACAGTCTTAGGAATTATGCAGGGCAAATACATCAAGTGGTCAAGAAATCTTGAAGCCAGTCAACTATACCAATTTTATTGATAAACATCTCTAAAGAAGTTTCAGTAACTTTCCCTAGGTCCCACAACAAGCAAGCTAAGGCATGGTTTGAGCTCAGGTTGCTCTGGCTCCAGAGACTGCTTAATTGTTACATCGCCTGCCTCTCAATATAACTGAGGAAATGTGGATGGCTCAGCATATTTCGTCACTGTTTCTGGGAAAGAGTATAGAACATGTGACCTGGTGATTGTGGGTCCGTGGCTCATAACAATGAACTACTCAAGAAAAGGATGGGGGACTTAGCCAGGGCTTGTTCTGCTATCATCAGCCATCTGTGAAAAACAGACTATTGGTTCTATGACTTCAGCAACCAACTTCACTCTACTGGTTATAAAAGAGGAGATGTGTGCAAGGAATGTATCCCAAGTGCTTCCTTTTTTATCTTTAGATTTCACTTATACACTCTGTGCTAGTGACTCCTGCCTCAGTGCCTGTCTGTGAGAGTCTTTCCCTTCATTGATATCCTCCCTGAGTGACAGCATTTCCTTTGCCTCCAGTTCATAGCAAAATGAAGACAGAAGGTGGGATGTTTCATGCTGTTGTTGATGTTATGACTGAGCCTCAATTAACGATATAGGTATGGTATGAAAATGTAGGGAGAACACAAGCAAAGAAGCATTTTTACAAAAAACGGGACAAAATATATAGGATAAATGTTATTTGGGGCTTTGAATGGAAGAGAAAGGGAACCTGGTGGAGAATCAAAGAATCTGGGAGATCACAGTCATGATTTGTGGGGCACTGGCAGAAAACTTTATTGAAAAGTCCTGACTTCTTAACCAGTCATGTCGATGACACTAAGAATCTTGAGTGAGGTAAATGTAAGTGAAACAAGCAAAGATATTCAAGACTGTGAAGGCACAGAGACTTGAGTTCTTTCTCCCAGTCATAAAAGGTTAAATTTCTAAGGCTGGGGTAGATACTACTTCGTGTTTGATCCATGTTTAAACCTCTTCAAAGAGTCATGGAATAAAATCCTTCATTGGTCTCACAGGTGATATTTGGAAAGGCAGCAACTCCTGGATAGTTGTCATTGCATGAAAAAGGTGCCAGATGAGACTGGTAGCATTACCTGTGATAAGAGAAATCTTCAATGAGCAGCACCTGCAAGAGCTAAGGAAACTTGTAGCCAGAGAGCACCTGAATGCTGACATGGATCCTGATCAATATCAGGATGAAGATATCAATTGGTCTGCTTTCTAGAAAGAAATATCATTCTTAAGTTCTGTACTGCTGCATTATCAGGCTGGTTCTACAGCAATGTCTATACTTTCTGGGAATATTTGAGGGTTCAGCCCTGTGGCTGCTCTACAGAGAGTTGTCTAGTCCGTCAAAACTGGTCATGTTTTAGCATTTTCATTTTTTATTTCTTAGCTAATAGATTGTATTCTCAATACACACTGCGTACATTTCTTTTATTCCTTCCCCAGAATCCTGTTCCTTCAAAGAAAGTTCAGAGTTGTTCACCTGCCCAAAGGATGTGTTATGAGATATGTTGTTTGGTAGAAGGCCAGGGAGTTCAACTGAATTGGAGGAAGATATGCTCTATTCTTGGCCATGGCATGATGAGCTCTTATTACTGAATAAGGACTGCTTCAAAGCCAATCATTGGGAAAAACTAGGTAAGAGGAGGAAGTCTTTGAGTTTTTGTTTTGTTTAAGAACCAGAACAGTAGGATATTGTTGGCTAGCACATGGCATACAGGGTTTAGCAAAATGAAGGTGAGTATTCACCAGCTAGCACTCAAACTCAAACAGTGTGCTGTTGGGTAAGTGTGGCTGAGTAAAGCGTGTGGATAATGGTATCAGATTGGGGAAAATGGAGTGATAATGACTAAGAAGAGCTAACATTTGCGAAGGGCTGTATAGATTACAAGGCTTTTCTACATGGATCTCATTTGATTCTCATAAAACCCATGAGATCATTTTAGTATGTTACCTTTTTTTGTAGTAAAATATGTATAACTTAAAATTTACCATTTTAGCCATTTTTAAGTGTACAGTTCAGGGTCATTAAGTACATTCATATTGTTGTGTGCCAGTCTCCACCATCCATTTCCAGAAATTTTTTATTTTCCCAAAATGAAACTCCATACCCATTAAATGCTAACTGCCCATCCCCTCTTCCCAGCCCCTAACAACCACTGTTCTACTTTCTGTCTCTATGAATTTGACTACTCTAGGTACATCATATAAGTAGAATCATACAATATTTGTCCTTCTGTGGTTGGCTTATTTCATTTAGCATAATGTCTTTAAGGTTCATCTAAGTTGTAGTATGTGTCAGAATTTCTTTACTTTTTAAGACTGAATATTTTATTGTATATATATTATAAATACACCACATTTTGTTTATTCATCTGTTAATGGACACTTGGGTTGCTTTCACCTTTTGGCTATTGTGAATCATACTGCTATGAGCATGGTTATACAAGTATCTCTTTGAGTCCCCGCTTTCAGTTCTTTTGTGCCCAGAAGTGGAATTGCTAGGTCCCATGGTGTGATGATTAGTTTTAGGTGTCAACTCATCTGGACTAAGGAATAACTAGAGAACAGGTGAAGCATTATTTTTTTGGTGTTGCTGTGAGTGTGTTTCCAGAGGGTATTGGCATGTGAGCGTGAGTGGACTAAGTGGGGAAGATTTGCCCTCAATGTGGGCAGGCACCGTCTAATCAGCTGGGAGCCAGGATAGAACAGAAATAGCAGAAAGATCTTTCTCACTCTTGAAGGTGGTATACACTCTTCTCTTGCCCTTAGACATCAGCACTCCAGGCTCTTTATCCTTTGGACTCTAGCAGCCCCCTGGGTTCTCATGCCTTCAGACTTGAATGGGGCCATGCTACTGGCATTCCAAGGTCTCCAATTTGCAGAAAGCCTGTTGTGGGACTTATCAGCCTCCATAATCACATGAGCCAATTCCCTTAATAAATCCCCTCTTGTATCTTTCTCTCTCTAGATAGCCTATTAGTTCTGTCTCTGTGGAGAATCCTGAATAATATACATGGTAATTCTATGTTTGGTTTGTTGAGAAACTGTCATACTCTTTTTGACAGTGGTTGCACCATTTTACATTCCTACAGCAATGCACAAGAGTTCCCATTTCTCCATCTCCTTGCCAACATTTGTTATTTTCTGTTTTTTATAATAGCCATCCTAAGGGGTGTGAAATGATATTTCATTGTGGTTTTGATTTGTATTTCTCTAATGGTTAGTGATGTTGAACATCTTTTCATATGTTTACTGGTCATTTGTATAACTTCTTTGAAGTTCAAGTTCTTTGCCCATTTTTAAATCAGGTTGTTTGTTTTTTTTTGTTGTTGAGTCATAGCAGTTCTTTATATATTCTGGATATTAGTTGCTTATCACATATATGATTTGCAAATATTTTCTCCCATTCTGTGGGTTGCCTTTTCACTCCGCTGATAGTGGCCTTTGATATACAAAAGTTTTTAATTTTGATGGAGTCCGACTCATATATGTTTAAATTGTTGCCTGTACTTTTGGTATCAGATACAAGAAATCTTTGCTAAATCTTGTTATGAAACTTTTCCCCCTATGTTTTCTTCTAAGAGTTTTATAGTTTTAGCTCTTATATTTAGGTCTTTGATCTAATTTGAATTTGAGTTAATTTTTGCATGGTGCAAGGTAAGGGTCCAACTTCATATTTTTCTATGTGGACATGCAGTTTTCCCAGCACCATTTGTTGAAAAGACTTTCTTTTCCCCATTGGATGATCTTGGCACCCTTTCTGAGAATTATTTGACCATATATGTGAGGGTTTACTTCCAGAATCTTTATTATTCCATTAGTCTATGTGTCTGTCTTTATGCCACATGGTTTTGATTACTGTAGCTTGTAGTTTTGAAATCAGGAAGTGAGAGACCACCAAGTTGTTTTAAAATTTTTTTTTCAAAATTGTTTTGTTTCTTTGTGATTCCTTGAATTTCCATATGAATTTTAGGTTAATTTTTCTATTTCTGCAAAAACATAATTGGGATTTTATTTAATCATAGGGATTGCATTGAATTTGTAGATCACTTTGGGTAGTATTCACATCTTAACAATTTTAAGTCTTCCAACTCATTAATATGGGATGTCTTTCTATCTATTTGTGTTTTCTTTAGCTTCTTTCAGCAACATTTTGTAGTTTTCTGTGTACAAGTCTTTCACCTCTTTGGTTTTTTTCTAAGAATATTATTCTTTTCGATGCTACTGTAAATGGAATTGTTTTCTTAATTTCCTCTTCAGATTGTTTAATGTCAATATAGATTCATAACTCATTTTTGTGTGTTGATTTTGTATTCTGCAACTTTGCTGAATTTATTTACTAGTTCTAACAGTTTTTTGGGGGAAATATTTACAGTGTTCTACCTGTAAGATCATATCCTCTGCAAACAGAGAAAATATTACTTCTTCCTTTCCAATTTGGATGCCTTTTGTTTCTGTCTTTTGCCTAATTGTTCTGGCTAAAAGTTCCCATGCAGTGTTGAGTATTATTTATCTGAGAATATCTTAATTTGTCCCTCATTTCTGAAGGTCAGTTTTGCAAGATGTAGAATTGTATGTTGACATTAAAAAAAAAAAAAATTCCTTTAGGATCATTGCAGACAGGAGGCAGGACTTGATTGCAGCTCCGGACAGAGTAGCATGCGGAGGCTTGCATTGTGAATTTTAGCTCCAGATTGACTGTAGGAACAAACCAGCAATCCCAAGAGGACCCACAGACCCTCTGAAAGAAGCAGAGTACTCCTGCAGGACAGGGAAGACACCCCAAATACTATGAGCTTCCCAACTGTGGAAGTGGGAAAGGTAGACCCTCCTCTCCTGAAGACACACCCTCACTGGAGAGGCTGAAGGTCTGTTTGCAGAAGTTTCCAGCTTTACCTGGAGCTGAGTCAAGTTAGAGAGCCGAGTGAAATACAGAGGTAGAGGAAGCAACAGAAAGGACCTGGGAGCTTGCTGGGACCCAAGCACCCCATTCCTGCCTGGCACCACAGGGATCCATCCGGAGGGTGGCCAGAGGAGCAGGGGGCGAAACTCCACAGGGAGAAGGAATTCTGTAGCTGAACTTTGTAACAATTTGAATGTGGCCAGAAGCCTCCTGGCCGGAACTCAGCAGAGGGAGTGAATTGGGCATGCACATTTCACAGGCAGGGAGAAGAATTAAAGCCCTTTTCTCTCTCAGCTGGGAGGCGGATAACCTTGAGCAAGTTTTCAATCCCGTCTCGCTCTATGCCTGGAAACAGACTCGGGGCTGTTGGTCAGGACACGGTGGGAATGAGACCTGCCCTTCAGTTTGTGTGGGAGGTGGGTGAGGCCTGTGACTGCCGGCTTTCCCCCACTTCCCTGACAACCTGCATGACTCAGCAGAGACAGCCATAATCCTCCTAGGTACATAACTCCAGTGACCTGGGAATCTCACCCCCATCCTCCACAGCAGCCTCAGCAAGACCCACCCAAGGAGAGTCTGAGTTCAGACATGCCCAGTCCCTCCCCCATCTGATGGTCCTTCCCTATCCACCCTGGTAGTGGAAGACAAAGGACATATAATCTTGGGAGTTCTAGGGCCCCATACACCACCAGTCCCTCTCCACGCTACTAAAGCTGATGCTTTCTGGAAAGCAACACCTCCTGGCAGGAGACCAACCAGCACAAAAATAGAGTATTAAATTACCAAAGCTAAAGACCTTCAAGGAGTCCATTGCACCCTCCGCCACCTCCACTGGAACAGGTGCTGGTATCCACAGCTGAGATACCCATAGTTCACATCACAGGACTCTGTGAAGAAACCCCCTGTACCAGCCTGGAGCCAGGTAGACTTGTTGGGTGGCTAGACCCAGAAGAAAGACAGTAATCACTGCAGTTCAGCTCACAGGAAGCCACATCCATAGGAAAAGGGGGAGAGTACTACATCAAAGGAACACCCCGTGGGACAAAAGAATCTGAACAATAGCCTTCAGCCCCAGACCTTCCCTCTGACAGAGCCTACCCAAATGAGAAGGAACCAGAAAACCAACCCTGGTAATATGACAAAACAAGGCTCTTCTATACTCCCCAAAAAGCACACTACTTCACCAGCAATGCATCCAAACCAAGACAAAATACCTGGTTTACCTGAAAAAGAATTCAGGAGGTTAGTTACTAAGCTAAACAGGGAGGGACCAGAGAAAGGCAAAGCCCAATACAAGGAAGTTCAAAAAATGATACAAGAAGTGAAGGGAGAAATATTCATGGAAATAGATAGCTTAAATCACAATACAAAACTCAGGAAACTTTGGACACACTTTTAGAAATGTGAAATTCTCTGGAAAGTCAGCAATAGAATTGAACAAGTAGAAGAAAGAAATTCAGAGCTTAAAGATAAGGTCTATGAATTAACCCAATCCAGCAAAGACAAAGAAAAAAGAATAAGGAAATATGAACAAAACCTCCAAGAAATCTGGAATTATGTTAAACAACCAAACTTAAGAATAATCAGTGTACCTGAGGAAGAAGAGAATTCTAAAAGCCTGGAAAACATATCTGGGGGAATAATCGAGGAAACTTTCCTGGCCTTGCGAGAGACCTAGATGTCCAAATGCAAGAAGCACAAAGAACACCTGGGAAATTCATTGCAAAAAGAT